AGAGATGGACAAAGCTGCTTTGATGCTTATTTATAAAGCTGATATTTAACCTTGATAGTGACAGATGTGACAGTGCTACCCTGGATAGAAGACAATTCTGTGCCATCTAATAAGCTTAAGGAATATACAGTATGTATGATAATATACATCTGCACAGAACACACTGTAAGGCTGGATCTAACTTTTGTACAAGATCCATATATTTGATGGTGATAAATGACTAATAAACATTACTTGAAAGAAAAGCTTATATAAATCACTTAAAAAAAGAATTCGCCGATTTGCTTCTACAAATGCCATCACTCTGAAAAGTACTGCGATTGTCTTTGGTCTTGTGGATTCGTTAAGGTTATAATTATACCACCACTTATGACATGGTGATGAATTTGGGATCTGACATGGGTTACAGATTTTTTGATTCAGAATTCTGTTTAGCGATTGTGGCAGAAGCTCCATTTGCCGTCTGACAGCCGCCGTGTAATTGTGAGTGTGTAATTGTGAGTGTGTAATTGTCTTATAAAGACAGGGAACAGATTGCTGCTCATGTTTCATTATGCTGTCATTTGTTTCTGAAATATGGAGAAACATTAGAAAAAAAATGACACTGGCTCCAGGACACCATATTTAAAGAATTAATTTAATTTAAGTCAAAATAACAGTCTAATAATTAAAGAACTCTATAAAATACATAACTGGTGAGCAGACGATAATGACAATTATTATAAAGGAGTCAATAGCACATAAATATTTATAGGAATAATAACCAGCATCTTCATGCAGCAGCAAAAGGCATCAACTTAGTAATGTTTGTCGTTCAATAAATAATAAAAATCTTTTGGTTGCCTTGGTGACAGGGTTATGATTCCCTGTGATGCAGTAGATGTTTATTCAGCATACATTTTTAAATGTATGTAAGATCTATTGTAATTACATAATTGTGGAAGGCAGGTAAATTGTAATATGTCTGTGTGTTTTTTTTCTGCTTTGGATTAGAAATTAAGTTGCACCTCTGACCTGACTGTGATGTGGTGTGATGTGGAGTGATGTGGAGCTCAGACAGTTTAATCTGTCAGATTTGTAACTCTCCACAGAGCAGAAAATAATAGTCAGTTGATTATGTTTGGGTGCATTTCCTGCCTCTGCTTGCCAGCTTATGTTGCAGAACATGTTTTCTGGCAGATCTTCTTATTTACCTCAGTATTAAAACGACGCTGTTGAGCTGAAATGAGCCGTTCGCCGCGGCCGGGCGTCTGAGTGGGATTAATGGTGCCCCTCGTCGCCGGTATTTTCCGCCCTTGTGCCCGGTGGCCCGGCTGCTCGGATGGAAGTTCTGCTGGCTCGTGACTCACGGGACCTTGTTCCATCTCTTTGGCCTTTCACGTATTCTCCCTGAGTCCTCCGGAGGCATAATTCTCAGGGAAATTAGGGTATCTGCATTGTCCTTTGTGATCCTCTTATCCAGGGTGACCCCTGCCTCGTGCCCTATTGTTCCTGAGGTAGGGTCCAGGCTCACCCTGATTGCACGAGCTGTACTGCAGCTTGGTTGTGTAATAAGTAATAAGTGCTGAATGTGGGGGGCGGCTGTGTTCCATCCAGGCCGTTCCCTAGCATGTACATCATTGGATGCCATTGAACAGGCCCCCGTGACATTAGCTAGGCAATTAGCTGCTGAAAGTGACAGAAAGGTTCTAACCAGGGCCAGCCTTGGGTGCTCTGAGTGCCCCCACCCCCGAGAGCAGCAGAAAACAATATTTGTCAGTTAATTTATATTAAAATCATTTCAGTAGCACAGGGTATCTGGCAGCTAACTAGCTAGTTAGCGTCTGTCGCACAAGATAAGTAGTGAAATACGAAAACTAGTGTAAATAACTGTAATGTCACAGAATGTAACTTAGTGGGATTTCTTCAGTTTTTTTTCACCCTCTTTCTTGTGCCCCGTAATAAAATGGATCCGAGGCGGTCACCTATAGCCGGGCCGGCCCTGGTCGCAATGCAAGGCAGGGTTGCTCAATGTGAATTTAAATTCTTTAAGCTCATGTATATAATTCGATGTCCACCTAAGCCCTTCATGCAGTGGACTTTGCTTACATGTGGTCAGTAGGGTCCAGACAAGTAACATACTCAAGGGTGCAGGTTCGGTTTCAACTTTAGTAGAGATCAAATCAGCCACAAAGCCCTCGCACCTCTAAACACACACAGAACTACCACAATATTGGCAGGGACATGTCCTTACATCCATACCATCCATAACGTCCATGCTGTCCATAACATTCATAACGTCCATACCATCCTTATGTCCGTATTGTCCATACCATCCTTATGTCCATATTGTCCATATCATCCTTATGTCTGTATTGTCCATACCATCCTTATGTCCATACTGTCCATCACGTCCATACCATCCTCATGTCCATACTGTCCATAATGTCCATACTGTCCATACCATCCATACCATCCTTATATCCGTATTGTCCATAACGTCCATACCATCCTTATGTCCATATTGTCCATCACGTTCATACCATCCTTATGTCCATACTGTCCATACCATCCTTATGTCCATACTGTCCATCACGTCCATACCATCCTCATGTCCATACTGTCCATAACGTCCATACCATCCTTATGTCCATAACGTCCATACCATCCTCATGTCCATACTGTCCATCACGTCCATACCATCCTCATGTCCATACTGTCCATCACGTCCATACCATCCTCATGTCCATACTGTCCATCACGTCCATACCATCCTCATGTCCATACTGTCCATAACGTCCATACTGTCCATACCGTGTAATCCTCGGACATATTGGATCGGATTTGGAGAGTTTTCCTTTAAGGCAGTGATTATGCGGTTTATTTAACATCTGGAGAGACAACACATGCCTCTATACCTTGATTTGTTTGTCTCCATGCTCTTTGATGACTGGAGAATTTCTCTCGTGCATTTGGCCTCACCAGAGACAGAGTTCAGTGAGTTTCTGGTTCCCAGATAAATCTGCAGGGTCAGCCTGCTGTGATTCCATTATGACCCATTTGATGAGTGCCGTTTGACGATACCCCTACGGGGAAATACATTTCCTAAATTAAAGATCCTTTTCAATCCCATTTCCCATTCACCTTTGACTCAAATATTGCGTTAGAGTTGGTGTTTTTTTTGTGGTCATGGTACTTTATTTTTAATGAAATGAGATGGTACCTCCGGGGCAGAAGGGTTTTGTTGCTTCTCTGGCCGTCTGCATGAGGAGCTGCGTGATCTTCCTGTGACCACATGGTTACACCTGTTCGCTCCCACAGCCCAAAGGCATGCTGTTCAGGTGGGCTGTTGTCCCTGCATTGCCCATACTGTGCGCTCGTGTGTGTGACAGTGTGCGATGACATGAAATTACATGCAAGGACCGTTCTGCCGACTGCCCTCTGCTTTCTGACAAATACATAAATGTTTATACACTGAAGTTTATATGTTCATTATAAGCCTGTGTTCAACCTATATGTCATATGTGTGTGTGTGTGTATAGTGGTTTTATGAGAAAAACCATTACTTTTTAAATTTGTTTAGAAAATATACACATATATTTAGATCATGTATTTATATATTTATATTTATATATTTATATATCACATTAGAAACAACCAGTAGTTTAGAGTAAAACATTCATTTTAAGTGGTAATAAACGTGTTTCGAGTTAAAGAGTCCATTGACAAGCAGTCATTGGAGGCTTTTTAATTAGTAAGACCTTTGCAATGGCATTAAAAACCAAACATTTGTGTTTAGCATCCCTTTGGGAGCCAAAGATTGCAATTAAAATGAATAGCAGAATGGCAAGAAGAGATCTGAATGAGTTAGCCAAGAAAATAATTGCAATTAAAAAAAAAACAGAAGATATGTGCAGGTATGTTAAACATGGCTTGTTAATAGATTTCTGTTATGAAACCCTTAAATTTGTAAAATTGTTACAGAATTAAGGATGTGCCTGAGAATTTCTGTGAGCGTGGTATATATTTGTTATCATTCCTGACCAGAGAGATTCTTCTTCTTTACTGTTGATTTGGGATAATTTTGATATTTTGTGGCTGCCACTATTTTATTTAACCTTTACTAATAGATTTTATCACTAATGCTTGTCACTGTCCAGTGGTTAATTAGTAATTAACTAACTAGCTAGTGTGACTTACCCAAAGTCACCTGAAGCAAATACTACTTACTTAAATCAACCCTATTGATTGCTAAATTTTGGTCAGGGTAAGAAATATGAAAATCATTGCTCTGTTAATAAATCAGAAACATATATTCTGTATAGATTTACATCATAGTGCATAAGTTTGCCTTTAAAATGACTGCATGATTACATTTCTGATGCAATGCGTTACATTCTTTTTTTCCTTTATGAATTACCTATTGTTTGCCGTAGATAATACCTGATAATACAGCTAATGATATCAAGCATTACCCTTCAGTGTATTCACAGTTTCTGAGTTTTATTCCTCTGAGCATATTCTTTAATCTTTGTCTCGTTCATTATTTTTGGTGTCTAAAATAATGAGTGTGTGTAGAACTTCTACAGAAATGGTCATGAATAGGCCAACACATTGATGGGTCATGGAATTTACAACAATGTCTGGTTTCTCTCCATCATCAGGGATAAATATGTCTTTTTTGAATTATTAATATCATAATTATTGTTTTTTATTGTAATGTCTAATTTTCTTAACCCCCTCCCGTACATAATACACGGGTAAAGTTTTTTTATTTATTTCTTTATTTATTTGGTGAGAATAGGGTCATTATATTCTCATGGGTCAGTAATTAAATTACTTTTTAAATATGGGAATTATGCTTCTATGGCAACATATATAGAACGCAGGACCAAATTAACTGAATGGGCAATGAGCAATCCAGCCATGTGATGCATTCTCCCATTTAGCGAATGTAACAGCTGCTGTATTCGAAAAACTTAACCTAGACTTGCGACATCATGTTCGGTTTTATGGAAATATATTCCTGGTGATGCTGACAACCTGCCTCCGCGTCACAGCGCTCCCACAAGCCAAAGAGACAAAAGAGAGGAAAGGAAAAGAAGTGAAAGTGGAGTCCCAGAGAGGTAAAGCGCTCATCTTGAAGTCTTCTCGTAAATTATGGCTCTTTTTGTTAAGATATCCCCCCTCCCGAATTTCATACTTTTGTCGACCGAGTGTGGAGCTGGGGACAGTCATATGGCATGCCGTTTCTGTAACCACGTGTCAATAAAGAGAAAAATGGGGTCAAAGACTCACTACGAAACAATAACAATACTCGTGGTACGACGCTATAACAATCCATGCATTGCTGTTGTTGTTGTCCCACATCAAAAATAGTGGTGATTTTAAGCATGAAAATGAAAAAATATTGGTAAAAAAAAACACACAGAGGACAGATTTACTAAATCATGAGACTCTCTCTGGCCTCCCTGGGACCCGAGGAATGGCAAGGAGTGTGTTTCAACTTCAGTAAGCATGCATTGGAATTTTTCATAAAGGGAACAAATTTGGATGCCTTCTGTTATTCGAAAATCAATAAAAAGTTACTGATAAGACACAAAATCATTAAAAATATTAATTTAAAATGATAAACGTTCCGCATGTTTGTTTCAATAATATCTGATTTGATATTAAAAAAAGTCTTTGTTGACCTGAAGCCTTTGCACAAACATTATATTCAAACGTTCCTGGACTCATTATGGTAGCCTCCGAGGCCTGTCGCGGTTTTCATTAAACGCCATCTTTTGTTTCAGCAGAGAGGCGGAAGTCAAAAACAATGAAGCGGGAATTAAAAGAGGAAAAGTCTGCAAGAAAGGAAAGGAAAGCCGAGAGGAGGGAGAAGCCAGTGGACAGGGCCAAGGCTGGGCCCAGGCAGGAAAGAGCGAGGAGAACTAAAGGTAGGCAGCATGCGCGAGAACACGAGGATCAATGAGGCGCCGTCAGAACAGTGCGGGCAAGAAGTGCAGAGATTAAAACAAATACCTCAGGAACCGACTGTGAAAAGAAGAAAAGCAGCCAGTTTCTCTTAAAATAGATAACGAGAAGACTCGACGTGGGCTTTATTTAGACCCTGTAGCTCAGTCGACATGCAGACGCCTTCTACTGTCAGAGAATATCTCCTGAGGAACGTTTAGCGAAGTGAAGGCACTCTTCAGCTCTCACTGTTCTTCTGTTGAAGAAGCGCTAGAGCAATTCTGACCTCCTGTAACTTAGAAAGCCTAAATATACAAACTTGACCTGCCCATCAAGTCAAATAGATTTTGAGACAGAGTCAGTTTCACACACAAGGAAATTCTATGGCCAGAGATATAAATTAATAACCACAAACTGGGACCTTCACCCAGTCCTGCGTAAAGGTAATCTAACTAAAACATAACTAAAATAAGACGAGGATCGCAGATGAACTGAAATTGTCATCTGAAATCGGGTCACTGGTGCCACGGCTGAACGACAGGTAGAGAATGTAGTGGGGATGACATCGTCCGTGGCCTTTGAAGGAGAAGGTGAAGGGGGACGACTGTGGCAGCACTGGGCTGGAGAATGAGGTAGCCAGCGATTGTGGAGGGGCATTGTGGGAAGGGGAAGGAGAGATACAGAGGAAAAGAGGGAGAAAGACAGCGTACAGAGGCCTTAGGCTCAGCCTTTGATCTCCTCTTCATTCTTTCCTTTGCTTTTTTCCCTGCTCTACCAACCGGATCATTTTGATTTCTGCAGCTGTGTGCTTGGCATGTAACACCAGCATGTGAAAGTGGATCCTCTTGGACTGCTGTCTCGGAGTATTCCTGAGGCGCTTCTACTCTTTACTTTCCCCGGGATCCCCACTGTTTCTGTCAAACTGCAAAATTACCACAGTTGCGCAAATGGCAGCGACAAAGACGTTACTGATGACTCTGACATTTTGTCATACTTTTAAGGTGACGTCTCATCAAAGCCATCAAAACAAATGCAAGCCAGTGGCTTTCCATGATTTTATAACTGTAAAGCGATGATGAAACAGCTCTTTCTTCCACTGGGTTAAAGGGTTTAATGCTGCTTCCTCAAAGCACATTACGCAAAAGTGTCCTCGACGCTCATTTATAAATTGAAAGTTATGCGGCATTTTGCTTTGTCATTAGTGCTTTGGCTGGGATTATAATGTCTGCAGTTCCATTAGTTGATGAGGAGCGATAAATTAGCCACCATGGGGCTAGTCATGAATGAACACACACAGAAACATGTTTTGGTGAGGAACTGAAATGATTATAATTTACAAGCTTTTTTCGAAGTTTTATGGAATAAAACTAATGAGTATCATTTTATAATAATGATTTATTGGTAATGTATAATAGTATATTAAAGTAGCTGCATTCTCAGTGGGGAGCACAGCTATTTAGGCATGGTTATTTCCTCAGAAATAAATACAAGTGAAGAATAAGCAGCTTCTCTGTATTAATACCACAAATAAGATGCAAAACTGACCGTGGTGTTTCTGTGTGTGTAGACCATTTAAATTGCCATGCCATGTGACATTTACCAGTGAAGTTGGGTTGTGATTTCGTGGACTGTGTAAGATTTTGACCTTCTTGCTGAAATCATGTTCATGGATCAAGTCACTGAGTGTGAAGCGGGTGACATTAGACACACGCGATATCGGGGGCTGTAACATGCCTCTTAAGCTTCGCCGATACCGTGCGCGAGCTCTACAAATCCACGCTTCGCTCACATGCGAATAACCTGCAGTGCCATGGAGTCCAAATTAGGTCGATTAGGAAAATAGTTATTTCAATCGATTGCCGACGCGCTTAGGTGCAACGTAAAACCGGTTAAACAATGTTAGGATTCGGGACCTGGGACCTGCGCTTGAAACTCAAAGCCTAGCTGCAGGCTTCACCGAAACGGCAGTGAGATTAAGCGAGGTCTTGTTAGAGTGGAGCTTGTAAGGTAATAGGGGAACACCTAGTGCACAGTAAATGCCCCTCGGTGTCGTCACTGACTGGAGAAGGTTAAGATGAGCAGCTAAAGGCGGAGACGGAATCAGGGCTCTCCGAGCAAACATTAGCCGACACAATGTACGGTTATGGGGAGCATGCTAATGGACTTAAGCAGGCAGGAGGTAGCAAAGTCGTTATGGACGTTAAAATAATAGTTGCCGGTTCATGTCCTACTGTGCTTCTCTTCCCTTGAGCCGAGGTATTTTAACTGAAGTACTTCCAGTAAATATTACTATGTATAAATAATTTGGGGTAAAAGTGCGTAGCGTACAAATGGCCTCGGTGAAACAGCCACAGTCCTGATAATGATGCAGTTAAATCACATGCAAACTGGGCAAAACGGGGCTGTGGAGAAGATCTCGCCAGTTTCAGTAGCAAGATCACAGATTGTCATTTGATGACTTCCTAAATACGTTTAACTCATGCATCAGCTCTCATTCGTCAAATTGTAAATGGGTATTGTCATCAGCAAGGTCATGTGGCTCTCTGCTTCATCTCATGAGAACACATTCGCTGCCCTTCTTCTGACTTTGGCCAATCAGGATGTCCATCATTAACCATTCAGGTAACCTGTTCACCCTTCTTCTTTAAAGGGCCCAGATGCTTTAAGGGGGGCATACAATCCGGGCATGTGTATACACACTTGTCCAATTATGGCCACTGCACCAGACATGATACGCAAGCATGAAATTTCCACTGTACCAAACAAGCACCGTTTCCATCTATCCCCCATCTTTGTTATTCACAGAAAGGCATTAACATTACATGTTCAATGGAATAGCTCTGTCTTTCCCTCTAGATGAAAAACAGGATGTCAGCCTATATCCAAGGACTCCTGAGGACAAAAATTCCTGTAATGTATCCTCGCGACCTAAGAGAAACACGGTTTCCTGACGCCTTCTAGCGAATGCTAAAGATAACATCATAAAACAAGCACATGGATTTACTTTCCCCTTTCACACCATATGACAGCGTTGCCTCTGTCACAAGTTGAACCTCCATCCAGTTTGTTGTGTGCCCTCAGTTGCTACGTTACGTTAGCCTGTGCTAATTTGCGAACTAAAATTTACGCACGTGCAAAATTTTCCTTCATGTGTTAAGTGCGTGCGTTTAAAAAGAGGGGAGGAACAAGGCAAAAGGAGGCAATGGCTTGAAAAAAAATTTGATATATTGTCACTCCGAGCCCTGACCAACACATCTTGCTTGGTGTAAGAAGTCATGGGTGATCTGTGGCATTCAGACAATGCTGTGCATCACAGTGCGTATAGGAGGGGACAGGCTATCCTTATACGGCTGCTCTGACAATGGAAAGTGGTCCCTTATCCTCTAAAAATACCCAGCTGGAGTTTCAAGCGCCGCCAACGCCACAGTTTGCCGAACAGAACAATGTCACCTGGCTACGCCGTACGCCCCCCCCTCTGCCCAGCTTTTATTAGTGACTCTGCGGGAGGACAGAGCTTTGGCCCACAGGAACAGCTGTCAATAGGGCCCTATTCTCCTCGGCTGGCAAACGCGGGCTGACTGTGTGTGTGTGTGTGTGTGTGTGGGGGGGGGGGGTGCTTTATTCGGCCGCTATACCAAACATATCTGCCCTAACAGCATGAACCTCTGAAGACCCCAGTGTTACCAGACATTTTCTGTCTCTCTCACTTTTTCTCTCTCATACCCTTGTGTCACGTCCTCCTTTTTTATATGATGGCCTGAGATCAGATAAAAGACCACCCCCTGGAATAAGGGGGGGGGAAGATAAAAGATCCAGACCACTTGAACGCTGTCCAACCCAATATATGAAAAGGGAAGTTCTCCTCTGTCTCCATCTGACTTTTGAACCAGACACACTTTTTCTTGTTTGTTAGTTCAAATGAAATCCTATTTTTGCATTACTAGACAAATGTTTGTTTTAGTGTACATAATTGCTTCTAGAACTGAAGTAGATAAAATGGAATTAAACATGATTTTGCATGAACCATGATTTTAACATATTATATATAAATAATGTATACATTTTCGTTAGCAGCAGTAATGTTTTATTTTTTCTATAACAAAAATGCCACATCTACTTTTTAAAGATTTGACGCAGGGCTGGTTTGCTAGGGATGTGCACGTGCAAATCCACATGGTTCATTTGTGATTAGTGAGCAGTGTGAAGGTATGAAATGCTACAAGCAACAGGGAAGAAAATGGCTTCCAGTGTTTCTGTACCAAATCTCTGCTTGGAAGCTGCCCTGTTTCTCATCTGAGTCTCTGGTTTTCCTTTCAGAGAAAAAGGCTGCTGTGAAACCAAAGGAAGACAAAAGTATGTGATCTTTTTTTCCCTCCAAACTGCCGTTTTGATCCTTGAGAATGAGGCAGCCTCATATAATTCCGAAACAAAATATCAGAAAAAAGGTTCCATTTGAAGATTAACAATGTTGTTTTTTTTCTCTACTGGCTTGCTGAATTTATTAACGAAAGGTAATGTTTGTATATGATGTTTGTGCAATAACACCTAGAAGAGGAGCCCAGGAAAAAGCCAACCAGAAAGTCAAAGGAGCTAAAGAGAGAAGGTGAAAGTGTGAAGAAGAAGGCAGCTCTGGACAGAAGGAGGGCAGGTAGGTGCTCCTCTGAGGTGCTCTGTGAATCACCCTATCTGTCCAGCCTCAGATATGGAACAGCTGCAGGATTCCATTTGGAGGAATGCCCTCTCTCTCTCTCTCTCTCTCTCTCACACACACACACACACACACACAGACAGACCTGTACTCATATCATTGTGGGGACCATCCATTCATTTCTATGAGCATAACCCTCTACTCCCAACAATGGCATCCTTAACCCCTACCCAGCCCTAACCTTAACCACAAGTAACCAAATCAAATACAAGACTTTTGGCTGTTTTTCTTTTTTGATTGTAGCCAGTAGATTTTTGTAAAATTGAGGCTATCCTTGTGGGAACTGAAAAAAATGTCCCCTCAAGGTAAAAACAACAGTTTTTTTTTCATCAAATTGTGGGGAGATCTGGTGCCCACAATGTAATAATTACAAAAACGCACACACACACACACACGCTGCTGAAACACTGCGTGCGCACACACACACACACACTGTTCAAAAACTGCGTGAGCACAGACACACACACACACTGCTGAAACATTGCGTGCGCAAAGACACACACACACACTGCTGAAACACTGCGCACACAAACACACACACACTGCTGAAACACTGCACACACACACACTGTTGAAACACTGCGCACACACACACACACTGCTGAAACACTGTGCGCGCACACACACACTGTTGAAACACTGTGTGCACACAGACACACGCACACACTGCTGAAACACTGTGCACGCACACACACACACACTGCTGAAACACTGCACACACACACTGCTGAAACACCGCACACACACACACACACACACTGCTGAAACACTGCATGCGCACAGACACACACACACACTGCTGAAACACTGCGCACACACACACACACACACTGCTGAAACACTGCACACACACACACACACACTGCTGAAACACTGCACACACACACACACACTGCTGAAACACTGCACGCACACACACACTGCTGAAACACTGCACACACACACACNACACACACACACACTGCTGAAACACTGCACGCACACACACACTGCTGAAACACTGCACACACACACACACACTGCTGAAACACTGCACGCACACATGGCCACACCTGCTATCATCCACATCAGCCTCTTCACAAATAAACTACCGCGTCTAACATGCAAAAAAGAAAAACAGCCATGAAATAAGCTCGCTGATTCTGCACTTCTGCAAATGAAAGTTCCCCAAAATGATCACCAAGGTCTGTTTGCCGGGAGGTGCGACACCGTGGCTCATCTGTTTGGCGTTTCACTGGAGCATAAAGATTATATCTGATTATAGTTTCTAAGTTCGTTGTTTTTGAGCCAGGAAACACAGAGCAAGAAAGAGGCCATGATGAAACAAGGAAACAAACCTAATCAGTGGATTAAATCTGTATGGAACTGTGAAATGTCACACATAAACATATAGGCCTATACAGTACATAAATTGTCATATGATTATGTCCATGTTATTTTTAATAGTCTATGCTTAAATGTTCTTGGTCATATATGCTTCAAAACAGTATTTATTAAACTGAAGTATAGTTTCATTTCTTTTCCAATTTGTAAACATTTTGTTATATAGAAGTGAACATCAGACCATCCTCCACAGATATGTGAGGTCACAGAGTAAAATGAGTGAGATTCTCTGTGGTAGGATTACAGAGAGGTTAGCACTACAAAATGACACAAACGCCTCACGTCACACATACATAATAAAGATGAAAAAGAAATTATGCTGAGAAAGACATCATTTGAAATTGTGGCTATATCCAAAGGACCTTCCTTCCAATCGGAACACGAAGTTTGGAAATATGTAAGGAGCCTAATTCATTTCCTGTTATGTGGTTGTCGGCCACAGATTAAGTCTTTGGGCTGGATGCATGTTGTGTATCTGAGATCACATCTTTCCCCTGAAAGGTTACCCTTTAATCGAAAAGTGTCACATTAATTCTGACAAATTCAGGCAATACAAATTTCTAATAAAGCTGTCATATTTGTATCCCGTGACATACAGTCGCCAGCTTTTAAATTAATTCCAGTAATAACCTTTCGATTTATGAATGCGTAATGTGGAAACTTGGTTAACCTTTTGATGTTATCATGTGGTACTGGGCTGTATTTCAAACAGTCTTCTGAGCAAATAGTTGAAAGCAAATAATTGGCCGTGGTATGGGTTTAATTCACATGTTTTATTTTAATGAATGTAATAGACTCTATATTGTACAACACCGAAGACACTAACTGTTCATTAACCTGTCCCATAAATATCACTCCATCTGATGTATCCACCAGACTCTGCAGTTCTTCTTACGCGTTCTGGTTGTTACGGTTTCTGAAGTTTCACAGTGCATTTGTTTTGTATCCAGACAAACGGAAAGAAACGGCACGAAAACCTAAGGACACTAAAGATACAGGACATAAAACGGAATAAAAAAACGCGGCTGTTTTGCTGAAATGAAGCACACCGTACCGTGCTTACTTGCGCCTGATCCTTTATACCGGTAACGATCGTCTAAGTTCAAGTGATAATAGAATCGGCTATAAATAAATGTACCGAGTAAAGAGCAGATAGCACTTTCACTTCTCAGGCAAACAAGATGTAAAAAGGGAAATCCTGAAAGGTCGGGCTGCCGATGGCTGAATGCAAGTAGTAATAAGACGGATCGGTGCCCGGACTCTCCAGATCCGCTCCGTGTCGCCATGCGCTTTGCGGATGACAGCCGATAACCGGTGAACTTCAAGCTTTAGGTGTCGCCTGGAAACGTAGCGGAAGGTCTTTATAGAAAAGGGAATTGCAGTGCGCACTGAAAGTGCACAGAATAAATGAAAGGCCTGCAACCTCCTAACCTAGTCTCTCTGATTTATAGCTGGAAAGAAACCAGCAGAGAAACCAAAGGAAAGAAAATGTGTTTGTCATATAAAAATATTTAATCTCGGTCAGATCACGCACTTCACCTACAGAATAGGCAGGCGCTGTAAAGTCTGCCTCAATCTGCGGCTAACATTATATATATATAGTGTTATATGTTTAGCATTTTTCGGCTTAAATGTAAATATAATTATGTGGTGTTGTTATCTTTTAATTGTATTTATCTTTCTATTTCAAAATTATAGCTAGATCTGAAGAAAAAGCTGTGAAGAAAAGGCAACCAGGTTAGGCATCGCTGTGTAAAAGTGGCCACTCTTAAGTTTTATATGGGTTGCGAAAGCACAGATTTTCCTCGCTGTACTATATACAGGATGGGCTCCCCTGTACTTTAGCGTGTCTTATGTGCATTTGCATACAAGCTCTGCAAAATGTCTCTGCGAAGAGAATCATGTGACAAAACACGTTTTTGGCAATATAAGCAACACCGCCCCCTGCTGTTGCTTCATATTTTATCTCCTTCTGGAAATAAATCAATATTTGTAATTGTTTTCAGTCATAACACTGATCTTTTGAAATCGAAGAAGGCTTTTAACCAGGGCTTGAAGTTAATGCATTTGATATTACCCAAGAAAAAAAATTATATAATATATATTGATTTTTTCCTTTTTCTATTTGTGTCAATTAATATATTAATACATAATTTATGTAATCTATAAACTGAACTGTCATCCTAAAGCTTTTAAGCTGTTAGAGGCCACTGGCTGTTGTAAGTGGATGAAATATTTAATTCCAAGAGATGCATTTGAATTTATTGAAAATCTGAACAAATTGGATTAAGTTTAAAATCCAGCTCTGGATCTTCTGCCTTGGCAGAGTTTGACGGGGTCAGTGGTGTTTTGGTAGCACAGGTGAAGTGTCTGCGACTGGATTTTAGTGCCATCTCTAGTAGTAAAGTGCATTAAGCTTTGGTTAACGTATTAACCCTTTTGCGCTGACACTAATGTCCTTTGGATTCTCATTTTATAGCCAAGCCTGTAACTGCAAAAGCCACAAAGGGTGAGTGTATATTCATTGACAGGTATTACATGTTGTTTTTGAAAACACTTCTAAATACATTATGTATCTGTGTAAAGTATGTATAATTAGTTCATGCATAATAATATATAATGAATATAATATACATATAATGATATTATTATTATTATTATTATTATTATTATTATTATTATTATTGGTATTATTGAAAAGCAACCTGAAAAAGCAAAGACAAAGGGTGATTAATATGGTTTTGAACTGATAACATTATTTAATGATATGCAAATAGAAAACATAAACTATAAGATAAATATTTTATTGCCAATAAAGTCGTAGGCTTTGTATCTAACTATCACTGTTACTTGCCCTGTCTGCAGCTAAAAAGAAACAAACTGTGAGGAAAAGTACGTTTCGTAGCTCTGTGGTGGCAGCGCCTTAATGACACTGGTCTTCTCGCGACTGTGTTAGCATGAGCGCTATGCTAAGTGTTACCGAAAGATCGCTCACACGCAGCTACAGTAGGAGGCACCAGATGCCCCTGGGAATGGAGCCACAGTCGCTTCTTCAGGAGGTGGACTGTGTGCCTCTCGCGCTCAGAATAAAGCGTGTGAAATCTAATCTGCCAGGACTGCCCCTGCTGTTTGGCGCGATACGCGAACCCTGTGCGTGAAAATAAAAATATCACACGTGTAATAACATAGATTATCGTTTGATGGCTGTTCAATTTACAGTTCATTTACGTGGCCCTTATGCTAATGTTCTGGATGGCTTTTGTAAGAAATATGTTAGAATTACACATTGCATGACATGATTTCTGAACTACTTGTCAGGAAAACCATCAACCAGTGCCAAGGACTAGCTTAAAAGTGACTGGGCTGAATTTTAACTTACAAATGACTTAACACTGCACATGTGCTGTGCATGTACATCCAAGGTAAAATGGCTGTAAAGAAAGTAAAGTCAGTGCCCATTTGAAGTTGGAGATGCAGAAGATTGACGTTCAGATTCCCTTCATATGACCATAAGCTTTGTGACGACTTCAGGCTGAGTGATGACTGAGAAGTGTGCAGCTCGCTGGCTGCCCGGCGCGGCTCACTTTGCTGGCTTAAGCTGCTTCATACTGATTTTTTTTCTTTCCTTTTTTATTTATTTTATTTTTTTACATTTTTTACATTTTCATTTTTCAGAACCTGAAGATAAGAAGAAACCAATAACAGAAACATCTAAAAAGAAAGGTACTTATTTAGCGTCTAAGACTTAAAAACTATTTACACTTGAGTCCATTCTCATCATTTATGCAGTGAGTTTTACTTCATTAACCTATCTTCATTTCAGTCTGTCTAACTTCATAATAAAGAGGCTTTATAACTCTTTGCTACAGGTGATGATAAGAGGATATCCAAAGGTAATGTAACTGTTTCAGTGTTCCCTTCTTACCAAGATGACGGATGACGATATGAGTCATTCTGAATGTTATAAAAGCATTTTAATAATGTAGTGACATGCAGTGTCTGGGGAGTGTCACACGGCCATTGCTTAAAATCTTAACTATTGTTATTACCTTATTCCACAGTCAAAAAGACGCCAGATAAAAAAGGAAGTATGTTTTGTGAAACAAAGCTGTTTTTAGTGTAGAATTAGCATATTTAATGTTTGGCTACGTAGCGCATTTAAACTTCCAAACGTTCAATAATCCTGTAATATTTTTTGAAGATGCTGAGACCCAAGAAGAACTCAGAAAAAGGAGTACAGGTGTAATTTGGGAGGCCAAAATCCTACCAGATTTATTTTTCGGCCCTCCATAAGCAGTATAATGATTTTTGTATTATATCTTGGAATGAAAAATCTGTTATGTGGCAATAGCATTTTAAATCCCCAGCTGATTTCAATTTACATTTTTGCTTTTAAGCTTCGGATTGAACTAGCAACGAGAAAATTATGCTCCTTTAACTGAATTCCTGATTGTGCTGTTGCTATGGCTACAGCTAAGAGCTTTTTTTTTTTTTACACCAAATAACTCCTTAGTTCATTAGAGCTACTGAGACTGAAAACTTCAAAGTAAAAACATTTTACATGTATGTATATGTGTATTTATGTATATACATCTATATATACTTACTGTACTGTATAAATGTATATATGCATCATATACATCAATTATCCGAACAACATTACAGCACATGAATTTTTTTGCAAGTTGCATGAAAAGTTCCTAATAATATAAAATTGATACCTGGGAATATGAAGGTCATGCACCAGATAATTTGAAAGAGGTTGTTGCCAACTAAAGTTAATGGATATCGATTAGGATAGAGGAGGAGTTTGCAGTGTTGCTTTGTTATGGGGATGTTTGGGAAATGATGGTCTGCAAACTTTAATTAGATGATTACATCATTCAAACCAGCCGGTTCACTTAGTAAATATATGTAAAGTTGATATATATACTTTGTTTTCACTATAGAAGCTGAAGTCCCTAAGAGAACACGTGATAGAAAAGAGGAGAAGGCTCACGTGGAAACGTCTAGAAAGAAAGGTTGGGTCTGTGTGGTGATTGTAACATTATCCTGCTCTGTGGGGAAATATATTAAAGTAACTTACGCCAGAAGTAAAATACATATATATAATTTTTTTTTTAGAACTTGTAAAGAAAGAAAAAACAACCTCAAAACAGCCTAGTAAGTTACTTAATTATTCTTTGTCTTGTACAATGTTATTTTAAAATGTTATAAAGAAGAAGTGGCTAAAACGTTGTAAATAGTGTTATTGTAGAGAGTTGGTTCCTGCTTATTTGGTCATAGTCATTAAGCTGTCAATTTTTCTCATAGCAAGGTAATTTTTTTCAATTCTCTCATTTTTAATCTTTGCATCTGTAACAATTGTATTTTTATCAGGTCGTCTGGGCAAAGCAAAGGCAAAAGGTACTAGGGATCCGTGTTTCACTTTGCCATGTGATTTAGTGTTTTGACTCTATCCAAAAATGCACATGGAAAGACCTTTTAGATTCATGTTGGTGTGATGTCACTTTTACTCCAGAAACTGGACCTCCAAAGACATCACGTGAAAAACCTGCTAAAAAGACTCGTACTGAAACATCCAAAACCAAAGGTGACTTTTTTTTCCCCATTCAGAACTTTTTGTGTTTATTACTTTGACGAGATTGGTCAGCTTGATGCTTATTTTTGCTACAAACATAAGTTGTTTACAAATCTGAACCAGTCACAGAAAGTACAAACTCTAAACACAAAAGCTGTAAAACGTTATTGAGTGCAATAACGTACACTCCTTGCTTAAACGTAATTAGACATTTTAGTCATTTCACAGTTTTCATTTTCCAGAAGTGTCTAAACTTTCCCAATGTGTATTTAATTTTCCATATATTTGCTGTTTTTGTGGTTTTAAACATCATTTGTTTTTATGCAAACAAATGAATTTCCTGGCCGATTCCATGTCTAATTACCTTTACTGGTTCATGTTTCAGGCGAACAGGAACCGCCTGTAATAGAGTAGGTGTTATGCGGTATAAATGTAGCTATCATACAAGAAGCCTTACGCTTTATACGATACGGTTTGCTACCCTAAAAGAAAGGCTCTGAAGTTACATAAGAATAATGCTTTTATCAGACTGGTAAAGATTTCTTTCAGATTCCATTTGATTCCTATAGCAATCCAGCAAAATACAACCTTAACGTGATTTCAGTTGATGGCCTTGCGCTTAGGGCTTCGGTAGAAATCACCCTGTGGAGGGAACTAAAAAGGTTTGAGATGGAAAAAGGCAAAGGCTTCTTTACCTGGGCTGGCTGTTTGATTCTTTATGGCAAAAAGCTGCAAACCAATTAGGTTTAAAAATGGACCGAACCTCCCTGCTGTCTGTATATTTTTAGCAAAGCATTTCCTCCGAAGCCTTCAGCACTATAGGAGTCACCTGTACCGAAAGGATTTTACTCTGTGAGCTTCTGTACGCTACATTTTTAATACAATGGTTATGATAAATAATGAAATACACATTTTGGTAGCAAAAAAATCCACTTTCTAACATTTATGTGTGTTTTCTTTTTCAGAACCAGAAATACACAAGAAGGTGCATGAGGAAAAGCCTGCGACGGAAACGATAGCGTTACCGAAAAAGGAAGGTAACCTCATGGATAGTTACAGCTATGGACTGGTCGGCAGTGTCCCGCTTTAACGTGTTCATTTTGTTTCAGTGTTATTTTATTATTCACACTTGGCGAATCTAATGAAGTATTCCACAGGCTTCATCATTTTTCATTATTTTCCCATTTAAATTTTTTTATTGAAGAGAAAATTAATGCAGCGCAGCTCTCGGATGCTGTTGAGGAAGGGCTTGAAATATTAAAACAGGATTATTCTAATAAGCAGCTGATTTATCTTTTGTATTCATTATATTATTCAGGAAATTGTCCCGTTTCAACCTTTTTATTCCCCAGAACATGAGGCCTCCGAAGAAGTGAAAGCAGAGCAGAAAATGGAGATTTTAGGTGATGAGCGTCTGCTGTAAAACTTTACAGATGTTAATAATCCCTGTTTTTTTTGTGATAAATATTTTGGAAAGGAAGTCCACACTGTTGCTCTGCCAGCTTATTAACCCTCCCTCCCCCCCCCCAAAGAAACCCTACATTATTTAAGACTACAAAAAGAACAATACACTGAACACAATACACAATACACTGAACAACAATGAACAGTAATATAATTACTCAGAAACTGCTTTTCACTGCGCTGAGTCACTGTGTGATTGAATTGAGCTTTTATGTAAATATGTTTTTAAAGTCATATTTTAAAAATACATTTTCAGAACCAGAAGTTCATGAAAAAACTACGTTAGGTGAAACTACACCGGAAGGTAAATTATTACCAGGCAGATTAATGTTTCTGCTACATGTGATGTAAAACATTCGAGAAAGTAATTAATAAGAGGAAATACAACCTTTTATCAGAGCCAGAGGTTCGAAAGGAAGCGCAGACGGAACTGAGGAAGGAGGAAGGTGAGATTACAATCTACAATCTACCAGGCCCTTTTATATCAGTAAATATGGCCATTATCGTGTGAAATAGCTGCTCAGATTTCATGTCATTAAGGTAATGTGACCCTATGGGGATGTATGGGTTCATGTGTCATTACTGTACAGTTACAATACAGCACAGCTCAGGTGTTTAACGTTATTTAAAGTGTGTTGGACCATCTCTGTATTATTATAAATGCAATCATTTCTTGTTTACAGTATATTCTTTACCTTTTTTTACAAAGATGTAGTCACAAAGGTACCCATAGAACTGCCAGAAGTGAAAGGTAATGATCAATGATTTGTTTTAGTCATCCACATTCTGCTAAATCTAATATTTGGTATAATAACTTTATTTGGTGAGTGTAAAATTTAAATGGCACTACTCAAAATGACAAAAATGCGTATTTTTAGAAGCAGCTGTTGATGAAAAAATCCATGTGGAACCACCCAAAATAGGTAATTTTTTATATTTCTTGCACATGTATGAAATGATACAGAAGAGAAGGAGTAACACAGAACATCACTTTTCTGCTTATTCAGAAGCAGAGCTTCTCCAGAAAGAAGCTGTAGAAGAACCTAAACAGGAAGGTACTGTTTTGGGTGCAGATCCTCTTTCAGCAGTCACGTAGGGTATGTAGTGATTAAAAAGCAGAATTAACATTGTTTGTATTTATTTATTCTTAGAACTGGTGGTTAATCAAATCGAAGATGCCGTACCGCCTGAAAAACCAGGTGAGCTCGAGGCTCATTATCTCTGTAAGAACATGCAGCCACACAGATAATCACCCCAGAGCAGGGATAGAAATGCAAGCGGTGCCTGGTTTCGGGTGAGAATGCTACTGTCCTCTTAGTCCCAGTGTACCGCGGTAGTTTATAGTGATGCTTTGGACTTTCCTTTTCCAGAATTGACTGCTGAAAAAACGCAGGAAGAGGTTAAAGAAACAGGTAGCACTTTCGTCGCTAACTACGATAAAATTTCAAGCACGATCAGCAGTTTATCATTCTTAATTAAATGTAAAGGGCTAATAACCTCCAAACCTGACCAGGGTAAGTGATTGGAAGTTGGATGGATGGATGGATGGATAAAGCATTAATAAGCAAAATAATTAACTAAAATGAAATAATCACTTCCAAATCTCAAATGTTTTATTATCTCTTCCTTCAGTTGTTCTTTCAAAGGAGGCCCCACTGGGTAAGATATTTATATATATATATATATTTGTTTTAAAAAATGCTCAGGGCTTTTAGTAAACCATTGTTAAGAATTCATTACCTTCATTTCAATGCTAGTTTTGGTTGTTGAAGCAAATCTTCACTTTTCACTCACCTTCCTACCTACATACTACTTCCTACTCTATCTATCTATCTATCTATCTATCTATCTATCTATCTATCTATCTCTGGCTGTCGGTCTGTCTGTCTGGATATCTGTCTGTCTTAAACAGCTGTTTTGGCCTCTTCTCAAAGTAAAACATTTTCATATGCATCACGAGAATTGAGAAACAGAAACCAATAACAGAGCGGCCACCCTACCAGTGGCCTATTGAGGGTCCGAAATGAGTCGTCTGCAGAGACACCCTGGAATTACTGTAGCATGGGGTATTTGAAAAGCTCTGCATGGTGTTACGAAGTATTATGTGACTGCAGTTGTGTGACTGTGTTGTCCGGGTGCTGTACTATTGTGTACTATGGAAAAATGCTATGGAGGCACAACAAAAGCCAGTAATATTCTGCAAAAAGCTGTCATATATAAGGCAAAGCTGTTATGTAAAAGGCAAGCAAATTATATTTGGAGACAATCTTCAAGTCAGCTTCATTTTCCCCCCAAAATGCAGTCATGATAGGTGTAATCCGTTAGTTTTGGATGTACCAGGTGTGACCGTTGCTTAAAAATGAACAGTTGGCATTTCGTAAATGCGACCCCCCCCCCCCCCCCCCCCCATTTTTAGGAGCAGCGGTTTCTGGCGAAGCACATACTGCAGAAGGTTACAAAGTGGAAGGTATTCCTCCTGCTGGTCTGTGAATTATTGCTCAGTTGTTTTGTCAGAATTTTTTTTTTGAGTTTCTCACATTTTTGTTCTTAATCTCTTTAACAGAGAAAGTTGAACAGGAACCTGGAGGTAAAATTTTAATTCATTTTGCTATATCTGACAAAAACAACATCTTTAATCTTTGGTTTATGTATATATTGTTCAGTTGTTTTAGATTAATTAAACATGCAGCACACACTGTGGTATAATGTGGTTATCGTTGTTAGCTTAATTTTCCTGTCATTCATAAAGTAATTATTTTATCCTTAGAATTTATGGACTTGTAAAGATGCTGTTTCACATTAGATGCATGTTGTTTGGCTTTATTCTGTTTTGAGGATAAGCTGTATAAGGGTCATTTAAAAGAAATGTCATGAAGGTTTACTGAACACAGCTATGGCGTATGGTGGTGATCTGTTATTTTCTTGGAACGTTAACTGCATCAGTAGTCAGGGACAAGACTGCATGTCTCACCTGGGCCGATCGCCATTTCATTTGTGAAATTGAATTCTCAGGCAGGCTGGAAACATTGACCTGCATTATATCAGGCCGAACCTTCAGTGGCCCTGACGAGCAAAACACTGCAAAAATTTTTTTTATGAAAATTCAAAAACATTTAAGAAATATCTTAAAGAAAACTAAAGACAAAGGTCAAACAGAGCAGCGAGTTTATCTAACCGCAGTCACATTACTTGCCTGTCAGTAGCTATGGATGTGCAAGGTGTCGGACAGTCAGTTGTTCCCTGTCCCTAAGATCTCGCCCTTTTTGGCGCAGGAGCTCCCGCTGAGGCCCGCGCTGCAGTGGAACCCAAAGCCACAGGTATTCCTGCCGCCCTTCAGCTTCGCATTGCAGTTTCACTTTCACTTCCCAGGCTTCTCAGTTTGTTTCTCATTTCTTTTGCAGAGAAAGCTGAAGCAGAGCCGAGAGGTAGTGAGCGTTTTGACACAACTTATCTTTCTTGCTGAGTCATACGAAACTATTGGTGACATTTATGTTTGATGTATCTATGTATTTTTCTCCTGATATTTCAGGTTAATCAGATGTGTAACCTGCTTATTGGTGGTTAAGAATAGTTATCAGGTTTATTTTACAGTTTATGAAACATTTATTGTTACTTATTTAGGTTTTTCACTAAATTAAGATTCAACATTATCAGCCTAATATCGTATTTCAACATGCAGTTTTGTAGATTCAATCCAATTTATTTTAATATAGCGCCTTTCATTACAGAGTCGTTCCAAGGCTCTTTACATAGATGTGTTGTGATTCATTACAACATCATTATAGAGAGTAATAATAGATTGGATTCAGAGTGAATTAATACGTTTTTGCATTAATATTGGCAATGCATTTACTCTTATAACAGCGGGGACATTGGATGCAATTTATAATTTGACTCTATGCAAGATTTATCCATTCTTTAAAATGGAGAGCTATTTCTTGTTTATTTACGAATGATTTGCCTTGTTCAGGGCCAGAGTCTCCTGCAGTGCCACATATCACACTGGAAGCTGCTGAGAAAGGTATTTCTGCATCTGTTCATCTACAAATATTTGGGCGAAAGGTTTTCAATGTGCAACATTTTCAATTTCTGTTGTTCTGTTGTCTTTTACAGTGAAAACTGAAACTGAAGAATCAAAAGGTAAAGAGCACTGGAGGAGCACTGGTTACCTTGGTTACACTGTAATGTATTCCTGATTAAACTCAGTTACTGCAAATGTGGCTTGTATTATGTACATCGTCTTGTTCTCTGCTTACTTTTCACAGAAACTGCGGAAGAGACAGAAACACAGGGTACTTTAATAGTGCTGTTTGATGTTTATGTGAAAAATCTGATCTCAGCCGCACATATACTGCTGTACATCTGGTTTAAATTCTGAAATCGCCCGGAATCCAGTGTGCTAATCCCACTGCAAACTCTTTTCCTCTGTAGTCCTTGAAGCTAATCAAACGGCACCTGTGCAGATACCCAAAGCAGAAGGTAAGCATTTATTCTGTTGATAAAATTCACTCTGGTCAGGGTTCATTTTCACCTGATGAGTGTATATTCTTTTTTCTGTCCTGGGGAGACCCAAGGACAACAAAAGCATGTCATTGTTGTAAAAAAAATGATGCCAAAAATTCCTTCTTGTAGATTTAATCATTCTGATTTGTTGAAAGTGAGGTGCGTCTGGGAGTTTGACGGCTATGAATCTGGATCTGTGTGCTTACAGCTGCCCCATGCAGACCAATGCCAGTGTACTGCCCTGCCCCTCCAGGTTGGTACGGTAAGTACTTCAGTAACAAATGGCAGATTCCATTCCTACATCAATACAGTAGAGGGCAGTAGTGTCTTAATGGTTAGGGAAGCGCACTTGTAATTGAAAGGTTGCTGGTTCGAATCCCTGATCAGCAAGCTGCTACTGAGGTACCCTGAGCAAGGTACCGCCCCCAAGCACTACTCCCCGGGTGCTGAATTAGCTGCCCCCTGCTGTGTCACGGTGTTATATATGGATTAAACGCAGAGGACACATTCTGTGTGCTGTGGTGTGTCAACAATGACCACTGATCTCTAAATTCTAGGGATGAGCACATTGGCATTGGAGGCCCTAGTGGCTGTTTCTTTAGATAAAATTGAGGTATAATTTACAATGAGGTGTAATTTCAGTATAATGGCGGTGTGTGGGTTAGGACTCCCCTCTTTCTCTGATCTGAGGGTTCAGTATAAATGCCCTGACGCGCAGGGTGATGTCACCCCTGGGCCCCTGAACAAGGCCCCTAACCCCAACTCCAGGGACCCTGCTTGCTCCGTTTTGCGTTGCTTTGGTCGAACACTTCTGCTTAAAAAATAATACAATAAAATACAATAAGTAACTAAATGTAGATGTAATCAGTAGACACGCTGACATGTATATCATATATTTGTATCTGTTGATTGTTTTAAGCTGGTATTATGAGGTGATTGAGTTGGCTGACTTCTTTGTACAATACTGTTAGTTCCCTCCTTGTTCTAACAATGGAGCTGTCTTGAGTGAGATCCTGAAAGGGTGTTTAGCTGAGGCCTTACCTGATCTGTCCATCAAAGATTAATGAGATGTTCTATAATTATATCCCATAAGGCTACATCTTTGCAACCATGGAAGATTAATAATGCTGAATATTAAATCATGACATCAATCAACTCAAACCAATAAAACTAAAGAAAGTGTCATAGTTGTATAGATGAAGTTAAGCTGATTTTCAGAATCCCAGAACAGGTAGAGATGTGTTGCCCTCTATGGATTTCTGGTGGATTGAGGGATTTATAACATATTATTGTTTGCCGTGATGGTTTTTATGTGGCACGAATTCATTTTTCAATGAAAATTTCCATCATGAATAGAACCAATCACTGTGAGGCTGAATCCCTGATTAACATCAATTTTGCCATCATGCTACAATCAGGTGTAGCTGCAATGCTTCAGCTCTGTTTGGATGTGTCCCATTCCCTTGGGTAAATCTGCCTCAAGAGTCAATGGTATACAGCACAGACATTCAGCATTTAAAAGGAATAGTTTTCTGTTTACAGCATTTCACGCTGACAGTATCAATAAATCAAGGTTGTGCAAAGCTGAGCTGCTTATGCGAAAGGCAGATTTTGTTTTTTTTTTTGTTGCTAAATTGCAGGTGACAATTGTAGCGATCCTGGGAGCTGTGGTAAGAGGGCTTAGCCAATCAGTGATTTGATTAGAGCTGACTTTGGATTGGGAGACCAGGGAACGGGTCCTGAATGCTGCCATAGGCTGCCCTCTGCTAAAAGCATATATGTATATGGGGGCGGGGCCACAGGGACATTGGCCCCAGCTGAAAGCTAATTGGCCCCTGGAATCTCCCCTCCTCTGTCACTCACTGATTCAAAACATATCATTGGGTAATGATGAGGTCGGCCCCTCTGCATGAATTGTGGCCCTTCCACCTACTGGCCAAAAGCAGTGTGGCCTGCTAGACGACAGAGAAAACATTTTCCATCCCCTTTACATTTAGCAAACTTGGACTTTCGTTTTATATTAAATTAGGGTGGCTGCACAACGCTGGTGGAATTGATTTATCATTTTACTGAGCATCATTTATTACATTACACCCCAAAGCCCATGGCTCATCTTCTGCAGGGGCGGCAGGCGATGTGAGCTGCCTGGATAAAGGTCATTGTTTCAGGGACTTGGTGTGATATCATGCTACCTGCATAACCCCCCTGAGGTACATATTCCACTGATTTTTATACCTGGTACGCTTTTCTAGGCAGTCTGTATTTTTTTAATACATCTGTGAATTCCCCTGCTAAATTCAGGGAATGCATTCAGAACAAGTATACATGATGTCAATAAAATCAACTTGGAGGATTTTCTCTAGAGATGTATGACCAGGGTTACATTTTATACATAAAAATATCACTCAGCTTATTCACAGATCCCTGTGATTTATTGCACGAGGCATAATATCTTAGAGCACTACCAGCTGTTTGTTACAATATAACAAAGTACCAAGCAGTACCTCAAATCTAAAATAACATCATAGCTATAATATATGCTTATTACAAAACAGTGAAAATCATGTAACTAAACAGTGAGCAGGCAAAAAGGAGACTGCCTTTGTGCCTTTTTTAAATTCTAACTTTCTAACTGCAGTTTCTGACCCGTATAAGATAATAAAAGATGTACTCCACTGAGCCAAGGGAGAAGTTCCTTAAGGTCTGTCGATAGTGTCCAGGATGGAGGCATCAATCTCACTTCCTGCCACGTGCTAAGCAAGTGCTTTACTGTGTGAGCTAATCCCAAATAACTCCATCTTGTCACAGACCTAGATCCTCACCTTCTCTTTTCTAAGTTAAACTCCAAATAACGTTCCATTTCTGGCCCTCCAAGAAATGCAGGGTATGTTTTCCTGACCAGCACCTTGAAATACCGACACAGAACATAAACATAACAAGTCTTCAGATGCACATAGATCTCAAGCTTACATTAACCCTTACAGTCCAACACCTTCATTACTTCCCTCCAAACATTCCTGCCATACAAACTCAGGCTGATATATACAGTAGTTGGACGCTGCTTCCTGCTGCCCTCTAGAGAGTGATTGTATGACCTTCTTCTGAGCTCCTTAACCTCCTGGTTCTATGGCTTTTTCATATTGTCCCTCAGTAACATGAGTTTGCTGCCCTTTGGCCCAGTGACCTCACCTGGGAACATCTTGCGTTGTTGTTTTGGTACCACAAGTCAAGTCACAACTGCTGGTGTCCTCTTCAGGGACCTCCGGGCAGTCCTTGTTGGACATGTGGACTGTCTGGCAAAAATGTGGACTGGGTTGAGAAATGCTATGTTAGACCTATAACATTCAGTTGCAGTTTCTGGGTATAGTTGTCATTCTGGGCATAGTCTGCCCCCTACAGTTGAACAAAAATATGGCATTTAGTCCTGCTGCTTGAATATATATTTTTTTCCAGTCTAAAAGGAAAATCTGCAACACCACTTCTAAAACTGTATATTTCTAAATATAGCTCGGGGCAATATGTGCTGCCAGACATAAATGTTAGAAATAAGTGTTATTAGAATCTCTGTTTATTTTTCAGTGCATCACATTGTGACAGACAATCCATTTCCACCTACTCCAATGACAGGTATTTGATGCTAATGCTATGCAGCCCTAGCATAACCGTGGTTGAAAGGCTTGAATGAATCTCCAAGAGTGGGTGATTTCTGTGCAGGCAGCACTCATTCTCATGATGTGAAACCAGCATCGGCCGCTAATTTGTAAGCTTTTTATGTTCATGCTTTGGACTGGACCATAGGTACGTGTCTGAAATGCTTCACGACTAACGTTGGTGAACTTAACGGAAACCTTCAATGAAAACATTAATTTCTCATGCATTTGTTCCAGTTTCTGAAGTTCCTGTTTTGACAAGCCACCCACTGCACCCAGCACTGCACCCAGCACTGCACCCAGCAGCCCCAGTTGCAGGTACAGGCGAAACAAACAAACTCGTCTGAGGCAGTACGCTGAACTGACCGAGCACAGAATCTGATCTTATACTGATTATTATTATTTTAATTAGATTATGTTCTTAGTGCTCACCCATGACAAAAAGCAACAAACTTTTTTGCTAAATAAAAAAAATACATTCATTCCATTGGTTATTTTACGTGAGAAATGTGATGACATCAGGTAATTCTAATAAAGGCCGAAAAGATACATTTGCACACAAAATGGATAATTTGCAGTCACCAATTCACCTATCCACACGATTCTAAACAAGATGGAAATGATCACATTTTCATAAGCATATTGACAATTTTTAACATTGTTGTCTAATACTCACATATGTTCTAAAAACATAACACATTACTCATATTTCGGATGTTTAACATATAAAGAAAATATATATATATATATATATATATATTATACACACATAAGTAGTATATTGCTTCTTTTGTACATTGTGAGATGAGATATATTAATATGTAACAGTAAATATCTCTTGTTTTGATTAATAGTGTCAGTAAGTGCTTGCAACTGTATTTTTAATGACTTTTTTTCTCTAAAGTTACAGCTATTTGTACTGTATGAACAAAGACGGGTTTCCATGATTAAAATCGCTGTCTTTTTTGCAAAGTACATAATGCATCTTCTTATACTGGAACACACATGGCCATTATTAAGCAGATCAATTGCACTGGTGCATCTTAAAACGCACCACTTCTCACTAAGCGTGTTTCAGGCTTCCGTACCTGACGATGACGTGTCTTTCAGAGCCCGAGGCCCCCGGAGAGATGGAAAAGTCACCCCCATCCTTTAAAAAAGGTATTAATTATATAGTGTAATGTACTACTCTGAAAAATATACTATATAAGTATGTTGTACTACACCTTCTGTTCATCCTCCAATGTCCATCTCAAGCAGCATTGGGCATTATGGGGCATAAGCTCCACCAGAGGGCGTTGTTTACCCTGGCAGATTCAGAGGGCCCAGCACTTTATAGGGCCCCTAACCTACTACGGAGACCCATAGTCTGGCAAAATGTACCAAGGAGGGCCAGAGTTTCTGATAGAAGGCCAATACGTTACAGTACAAGTTCATACACCTTAGATCAGGGGTGTCAAACTCCAGTCCTGGGGGGCCAGAGCCCTGTGTAGCTTAGTTCTTTCCCTGTTCCACCACAAACGATTCAGCTGAAGAGCTGTGTGGTAATTAGCAGAAGGAGTTGAATCAGGTGTGTTAAATGAAAATTAAAAGAAACCTAAGAATGTGCAGGGTTCTGGCCCCCCAGGACTGGATTCTGACACCCCTGCCATAGATACATAGATAGACAGATAGATAGTGTGGAGTATATAGGTGAGTAGGTAAATTCCGTGACAGTTTACTTAAAGTAGTCATCAGAATGCATTATAGGTACCATCATGCATTAGAATATGTTTATAAAGTATTATACACATGACCATAACTACTTAAGGCATAACACATGTTTATTATGCATTATGAATGCTCTATGAAGCTCTCATCTATAATGCATTATAAATACCTTCATAATGGTCAGTATATTAAGGATGCTTTGTATTGAATTATGGAGGTATCTATAGTGCATTATACATAAGAATGTCATGAAGCATTCATAATGCACAATAAACATGGCTATAATGCATGTTTTTTTTATAAATAGTCAATAGCTGTGTTTCTAATAATTTATGAAGGCATTATAATGCATTATGAAGGTACCTATAATGCATTAGAGATGACTGCTGTAAGTAAAGTGTTACCGTCGATTATTATTCGGAATGGAAATTACAGAAAATATGTAATGTATATATTAGTATCAATATAACATTACAAATAGTTAAGTATAAGAACCAGCATTACAAGAGACATATTTAATAAACCAAATTCATGTTCTCGTTTTCATTTGGCACCGTTGAAGTCTTTCGGTCACTGTGCTGTGTTTCAGTGCTTGGACATGATTTCTGGATGTGGCGAACGGAGCAAACTCATTTTACCCAAAGAGATAACCAAGCCAAAGGAGAATGACTATGAGATGTTACCTGGCATGAGACCCTCCACAGTGTGCAGCCACCTTAATAATCTAACGTCTTAATCATTTTAACTTTAATCATTTTAACATTTGCTTTATTCAGAAGCCGTGGTTCGGAAGGAGAAGCCCAAACCCCGTCACGTTAGGAAAGGTAAGGCCCGTCCGTAGCTAAACTGTTACCCCATCTGCGTTTATTGTTTGTACAGATTGTATTCTGAAACACTCAGAGCGTGGAGGAGAAACCATTGCTTTTGTATGTGATCCGTTTGTCTCAGAAGCAGAGAAGGAGATTCCGAAGGAAAGGCCCAGGGTGGTTCCCTCAAGAAGAGGTATCTATGACATTGCCTGCGCTCAGCCTTAGCACCACCGCTAACATATTTCATGACAGTACGGCTCAGGTAATCGCATGTCCTGATTTTGCTGAGCTCAATGTTTCCCTGAGTCAACAAGAGAGGGGTTCTATAAATGCATTATGAATGCATTATGAAGATGCGGTTAATGTAAAGCATTACCTAATAATAATAACAACAAGGCTTGAACCCACACCCTGATCACAGGCACTGAGGCTTAGCCTGCTGAGCCACACCCGGCCCCCGGTTGGGTGGCTGGATGAACTGAAGCCTTGAGTTTGAAATTGAGAAAAACGGGACCTATGTGGTGATGTCATACAATGTTGAATGTGATTGGTTAAATAAGTGAAACCAAGCCTCTCCCATTGCGCCCCAGGAACACATCGAAGTCGGCAAAATCAGGATCTCCTGGGTAATCAGTGAAACAAAAACATGAAGGAGGACAATGACCTTTCGCGTGTGGTCTTTTCCAGACGTGAGGTAGAATCACACTGAATAACGGAAGCTTTCCGTTGCAGGTCTGCATGTTCCGGAGGAGAAGTCCACCAAGCCAGTGAAGACAGGTAGCGGACAGCTATTTAACGAACATTATGCAGGAAACACTCTGCAAATTGCCATGTGTATTACAAACATGTAGCATGGTAAAACATGGTACATTTAAATAATGTGTGACCAATCTGTTAAACAAACCCAAATTTAATATGTATAGCTTTGCATGTTCCCTGCATAAATGAAAGAGTGGTAGAATTTAATGTATAACACAGCTATCTACAGATAGCTCCTCCACTATCTATCCGGCTAGAAGAAAAGGAGTCTGATCAAATGCTAAAGGAGTTGGCATTTGCATAAATTTTGTAGTGTCCAGATTTTTGACTCACCAGACTTGGTAAAGAAAACCTCAAAATATTGCTGAAAGGGGAGTAAATGTAAACTGAACACAATTATTACAATTACCAGTAGTAATCATGAAGATTTAAAACGTACCTTGAGGTGTACAGTATAGTAATTACCAACCAGACTGTTACCTTTAACTTTATTTTGCTAAAATCTTTTTTAATTTCTTCTACTCAACTTCTTCTACTTGAAAAAGAAAAACCAAAGTCTGTACTGAGAAAAGGTAAGACTACATGCACTAACCATAAAATTAACAATTATTATAATGTAATATAATTGACATTAAAGTAAATTACGATAATGAGTAATAGTTCATAATGCAAATAGATGCAACAGCTCAACCGGATAAACATTAGATGGATGGATAGGTGGATGGAAGGGACAGGGTAAATGGTATTTGTAATAGCTAACGCTTTTTTTTTTTTTTAAACGGAAAAGTCTAAACCTGTCTTACAAGGGGTAGGAGTAAATCACATAGGACTATACATTATTATCCGAACTCACAATCTTTACCCATTAAGACCCATTAATACAGCTGGATGTTTTTTATGGGAACAATCCAGGCAAAGTGCTCTGCTGAAGAGTGCTACAGAGGGCTTTCAGGTTACGACTTAATGTCCTTAATCAGCACTCCAGCAGCTGCGCCATTTACATACGTATAAATGATAGGGATTGCCCTCTTGAACCCTGACTAAACACTTTGAAAAGCAAATGTTTAATCTCTCGCCGCCTTTCCCGCAGCTAACAGAAAGGGGGATTAAGCACGAGCTCCATTTCGCCTCAGATATGTACAACATAATCAGAGAGAAATAGCAATCAGAATCTATTTACAAAATTTGTACAAAAAAGTTGTCCCCTGTTACTGTATCTGACAAGAAGTTGAATTTGTGTTAAAAGGAATCATTTCAGTTCAGTTTAGTTTATTTTTATATAGCGCCTTGCACAACAGAATTGGCCCAAGGCTCTTCACAAGGGTGTGTGGCAACCTGTCGTTATGTCATTTATACAGAATGGTACATGAAACGGAATAGGGAAAAGAAAGAAAGACAGACAGATAACAACAGAAGAGATGAACCAAAATCTGGCAGATCGTAGGCACCCATGATGTCGCAGGTCTTTAGCTGCACCCACGATGTCGCAGGTCTTTAGCCACACCCACGATGTCGCAGGTCAGGTGCCGCACCCACGATGTCGCAGGTCTTTAGCCACACCCACGATGTCGCAGGTCATGTGCCGCACCCACAATGTCACAGGTCTTTAGCCACACCCACAATGTCACAGGTCTTTAGCCACACCCACGATGTCGCAGGTCTTTAGCCACACCCACGATGTCGCAGGTCTTTAGCCACACCCACGATGTCACAGGTCTTTAGCCACACCCACGATGTCGCAGGTCTTTAGCCACACCCACGATGTCGCAGGTCGTGGGCCTCACCCACGATGTCGCAGGTCTTTAGCCACACTCACGATGTCGCAGGTCATGGGCCGCACCCACGATGTCGTGCTTCCCTGGGACTGAAGTAACACTCCAGCTGTGGGGAGGAAAGCAGAGGACACGGATGGGCAGAACAGGCATGGACACATCGATGCATTTATACTGGAGTATTTAGCTGGAGTAAAAATGCTGTTATCTTAATTATAAGAGTGAAGGGGCTTAAAGGGTGAAATGCCATTTATCCATCCATCCATCCATCTTTAAAAAACTGTTTTAGGGCGTCATGAGGAGCACAGGGTGTGGGGCAGGATGCCGGTTCATAAACCACATTCGCATATTGAGATGTAAGGATTTTTATAATGCGTTTGTCTTACTCTGCCATGCATCAAATAGTCCAGCAAACACTGTGAAAACAGTATTTCGCACATCGCACTTCCTGTGGTAGTTTATTTTTTCTCATCGTTGGGAAATTTCATGGTCTACATTTCTAAAATGAAAATGCAAATCTCATCTGACAGCTAATATGAAAAAAGTCAAAATCTAACATATTGTGTGTAAATTTCCCCACAAGTATGTTAGCTAGTTATTTTGGTCCCAGAATATGTTCAATTTCAATTTATTTTTATATAGCGCCTTTCACAACAGAGTCGGCCCCAGTCACTTAACATGGGTGTGTTGTGATACATTCCTGCATCATTTATGCAGAATAATTCAAATTAATGTGTTATGATGCTGAATTTCCTGCTATAGGAGCACAGAGTAAAAATTATGAATGAAAAAGAGCCATCGATCCCCTCAGTCTCTCTTTCAGATGTAAGGATTTAAGAACTGTTCATTCCGCTGCCTTAAATTGTACGTGTTTTATTGGCACTACTTATCACACGGTATTGTGGCTGCCAAATTGTGGCGCAGTAAACATAACTCCAGGATTGGCTGGTTAGCGGCAGACTCCTGTAGCCGCCTCGGTTATTTATACCTGATTGCTGTCGCCCCGCTCGCCTCATTAGCCGCCATCACATTCATAATCTTCCAAAGCACCGTTGCCATGGCAACCGTGTCCGCTGCGGGAAAGATGGCGCTCTGGGTGGGATGGCAGCCAAGTTAAACCAGTTACAGATCGCTGCTTGGTCGTAGGTACAAAGGCAGGCACGCACGCACGGGCAGGCAAACTGCGATTTTGCATGCTGGTGACGCTGTTCGAAATTTGCACCAACATACTGACAGTCGGGCGCAGGGACATGATGTTTATTAACGCACCTGGGACGGCGCTGTAGTTCTGCCAGTGGTGTTGGTGCCGTGTCACGGGCAGTCACACGTAGGCGTGCAGGGAGGCACACACTTGATTGTCACGTAAAAACCACTGCACATCTTGCTCTAGACGATTCCTCAGTTCAAGGAGATAAGAAGAGAATTTCTGGAACTCTCCTCACCCAAAGACGTGCACCGTCCTCCCAACCCCCCCAGTACCATCCCCCCCCCCTGTCCATGCAGCTATAACTCAGAATTGAGCAGCAGTGCACATTTTCCCGGTATGAAATCAAATGAAAACGGATGCTGTGTTATTTCATGCAATGTCAAAAGTTCGAATGGGTTTGTGACTGATACAACCCCATGATATTTTACAAACCTCTAGCCCTATCTCCCAATCACGCACTGAAGGTTCAAGGTTCATGGTTACTTTATTGTCATCAGCAGCTTCATACATGTACAAAGAGTAATGAAACAATGTTTCTCCATGGCCCCGGTGCAACATATAGTAACATCATAGTAACATAACATCACAGTAACAGGGCATGCAAGGTGCAAACAGGCAGTAAGTAAATAGTGCAGAAACTTCGTAGGTAAGTAAAGAGCAGTTGCAGTTTAGAGGTAGTTTTTGTATATGCAGTTTAGAGGTATTTAAAGAGAGTCAGTCCAGATATTAGTGTGTGTTCAGAGTTCTGATGCCTTGTGGTACAGTATGAAGCTGTTGCACAGCCTGGAAGAGGCGGAGCGGAACCTTCGATACCGTTTTCCATGACGGTAGGAGAGAAAAGAGTCTGTGTAGCGGGTGGGATGGGTCCTTTACAATCTTTACGGGTCTGGAAAATGTCTTTTAGGGGGCGTAGGGGCACACCGATGATCTTCTCAGCTGCTCTCGCTATCCGCTGAAGTGTGTTATGGTTCGAGACGTCACAGTTCCCGTTCCAGACAGTGATGCAGCTCTGGAGCAGGCTTTGGATGGTGCTGGTGTAGAATGTGGTGAGGATTGGTCGGGGGAGGCCCACTCAACGGGCCCGGCCTCAGGACAAGCCTGACTCTGTGCCCCCACCGGTCACGCTCTCAACGGCCCGACGCCCCATTTTTATTGCCTGAAATTGCACTTGGCTCTACACTTCAAAAATTGATATAATGGCACTGTCCACGTTTTAATTCTCTCAAGTAATAAAATTTTAAACGTGCTCGACATCAGGGCAGCTCTGCATTAGCTACTAAAAGCCACGCTTTCCATCTTCATCTGGTACTCTTTGAATAAATAACTAACTGTGGTATTCGTGACTATGAGAGCCGTCTGACACAGATCTTATTTTTTAAATAATTGAAAAATGGATACGGTAATGCATGTATGTTTTTTTTCACGCACGTACGTTTACTGTTATCAATGATGAGTTTACTTTTTTTTTTAGCCCACCAGTTGATAATCGCGAAGAGCCATGGGATACTGGGTACTGATGTTGGCTCTTCTTTCCAGGGTTAAGGGTTCAGCTGTGTTATGGCTTTCCACCAGCAGTCAGGAGACATGCTGTCAGGATAATTGGTTGCTTTCAATCGCCTGTGGTGTGTGATTGTGTGTATATCTGTTCTATGATGGATCGGCATCCCATCCAGGGTGTACCCCAACGCAGTGTTGCATCAGATTGGTTCCAGGTGACCCTAACCAGGGTATCTGGTTGGATTCTTCATCATTCTCGGTTCCCCTTCCAGGCCTGTTAAGATGACTTTGATGTTTTTCTTCACAGAGCCAGAAGCTAAGAAGCCATCCAGAGCAGGTGATGTACACAGAATCCACGCACTCACAACCTCAGTCCAAGCATCTTCACTTTATAATGAGATTCCTCAGGGTCAGCGACAGTGATTAATGTTGACCCTCGTGGGATGAGCCAAGGGCAGCCAGAGTGAAATGAGGAGGTGCGGGGCGTTTGAGAGAGACGGCATCAAAACGCTCACGCCGGCTCAGGGCAGTGACACAGCCCAACCAGCTTGAAAAACTCTTTTTTTTTTTCTTTTTTTTTTTGCGGGGAAATGGCAAACCCTTCTGTCTCTTTGCGTCAGTCTTTTCGATTCTGAAAATGCAATGTCAATATGTAGGTCATTAACACCTTTAGACTACTTTTCAAAAATCTTGCCTTTCAGTTAAAAATATGCAACAGGCGAGCTCTGTGAAAACATCTGCAGGGTGCAGTGACATAAGAAATGAGAAAACTTTCATGGCCAAGGGAAAGCATTGTTTACAGCTGCGTTAATCTGGAGGCTTACTGCAGATATGTGGGTGGTTCTTTATTTTAGCGTCTGCTAGTTTAATAACACATTTTAATAACATGCGTACAAATTGTGAGACAAAGTCCCTGATTCAAAAAAGTGACAGCCTGAACCAAAACTACTTTAATCTGATCCTCCCCCCCTTTTCACAGAGTAACATAAAAGTCCAAAATGACCGTGCCTGCAGAGAAAATAGATAATGAGGTTTGTCACAGATTAGTAGACGATAGACCATCACAATTTGAAAATAAACATTAGAATATCAATATTAAAAGTCATTGATGAAAGAGTTATTCACAATGTTCTCCATGAAACTGGTATCAATCTTTTTTTTTTGTTTCTGTATGTAAAGAAGAGAAGCCAAAGGATTTCAAACGTCCAGTGACTGATGGTATGTCACAGAAAAAAAATTAATCTCTTGAATAAAATTAGTAGTTTAATGCTGAAATATACGTGTGCTATATAGCATGATTTCCTTGTGTCTTATACACACAATTGTTATTATTATTTATTATGTCATAATATAATTACATTATTGTTGTTATTACATTATCAGTATTATTATAATGTTATAATATAATTACTACAGTCAGGCAGCATTAAAATAATTTGACTGGTTCAATACAGCAACATATATAGGTACAGTATGTAGATGCTTAATATACAGTAAACAACAGCAGTGGATGGTATTCAAAGACATCACCGGACCTTTGGAACCACATCATTATGGAGCGAGATTTACTTACACTTGATTGAAAGCCAGGTGCTGCCCTCAGCTGTGTGATGCTGCTGCAGTTTGCCCTGTTATCAGTTACAGGATACGTGACCGATTCTGGCCTGTTCCTATTGACATGTAGCTGCAGGGAGGGTAGACACAGCCAGCACTGACTGAAGTAGCTGGCTTTTAGTAGATATTTGTCTCCCTGAAACACAACAAATGGCCAAGGCTGGAGAATAAAAGCCTGTAATCGATAAAGATAAAAGGAACTCGATTAACGATCCACCACAGGTCGATGTCACTTGCTGGTTGAAGTTATGTCGAGCTCACCCTGCGGTCCATTAGTATTATTAACATGATTATTTTCAAATTTTACTTTTGCTTTAATTGTTTTCTCAACCATATCTGTAGCATATTAATAAAACACATAAAATATTAAATTGTTATTGTCATTACATTGTTAAATGATTGAATTTGTTTCAATCAAATGGCCTTCCATCCACATCGAACAATAGCTGACGTAGACGGAAACTCCAAATTAAAGTCGAGGTTATTTTCTCGGAAGGCTCCCTCCGCTTTGCTTGGCTTCAGGCCGTGACACCACCCCTCTGACACATCCCCTTTAATTGGTGTCGGGGCCGGCATTTATTTTCTGCCGTTATTTTGTTCTCGCAGTGAAAGAGAAGCGCTTCCGTGCTCCCAAGACACCCCTTCCATCAAAAGCTTCCCCCCCACGTAAGTCAGACGCCCGCTGAGCGTCTTTTGATATTTCGTAGGGACTTGTTTGGATCTCATTCAATTCTAAGTAAGATTTTATTGATCGACAGCCTCAGCACATAGTACATATTATTGGAGATATAGTACTGTGCAATATCTTAGGCAGTCAAAGAAAATGCTTAACGCTATTTATCTGGGTAGTAAGTGTATATTTGGTGCAAAAACATTCAAAATTTAACATTACAAGCTATGCAAATGAACAGTAACACAATAACTGACAAGAATTTCTTACGTTCAAAACATTATTCTCCAAAACATTACTGACATCTTGTTGGATGACTAGATGAGCACTGCTTTGGATCCTAAACCTGTTCCCATATCACATGTATATATGTTCATTGATATTATATGTAAACACTGTATTGACTGCCTCTTCCTTGTTCCATGTGCACCTGAAGATCCAAAGGCTGCAACAGTCTTAGGTAACTGGCACGCTTCTGCTCATACCATTGTCTACCACCTATTTCATCAAATCCCCAAATTTGTGCTGTAATCAGTGCAGATTTCAGTAAAAGGATACAATCAGATCATCCTGAAATGATCAAGAATATAGCCAATGTGCACAAAAGAAAACCATGTTTATTTAAATTTTATTTCTTATCATTTAAGAATGTACTTTCTCTCTTGATATGTCTCCTTGTAATACTATTTAACTGAGGGAAGATTTTAAACCAGTGCATGTGATTCCAAAGATTCCCATTAAAATTACGTCTGCTGCATTTTCCATTTCAAAATCCAATTTTCACTATTTAATTGGTACAAATGTTACTGTCAGTTCAAGAATTCCACCTGAAGATTATGTATAACCAGCAGGGCCTAGTGCTGCTTCACTAGATATCAGCACAGAAATATTTGTATATTCATGTATTTTTAAAGCCAAAACTGAACTTTTTTATAGGTTTTCTGTGTGATTCTGTGTCATCGTGCTTTTCCCACCTTGACGCTAACCTTTTGTGTTACGTATATGACGGTTATAATACTTTATTTATGCATGACGAAGCAGAAAATATCAACTGACATTAGTTACTTGGGACTGTCAGTTTTCTGAGCTTTAAACAGCAGAGTACATCGAATCGCTTCAGTGCTGTCAGGGCAGACTGGTTTTAAAGCAGCTTTCTGTTTTATATATTCATGTACCCATGTTGAATAGTGAGTCATTCACATTACACTCGATGAGCTTAGATTGATGAGCAAAATCAAAGCGCAATCACTGCCGTGTCGCGTCGAGTTAGGGTCTGCCGTGCATCACTTTCGCTGTCATCCACAGGAAAGGCTTCGCAGTCCGAGAAGGAATCCCTGAAGGAGGCGAAAGGTGAGTCGGCTCTGTGGGTCAGCTGACCGCCGCCCGCTGATTGGTTTCTTCAAAAGGTCGGTAATTCCTCTTTCCCTTCTTCTAGAGAAAGTCGGGAAGACTGAGAAACCCGCAAGTGAGTATCAGTACGACACAGCCGTCAGCCTGCAGGGTCCAAATTCCATCAGCAACACAAAGTCATGGTTAAAAAAACAATAAAATTTGCCAAATGGAGGGGGGGGGGGCATGATGACGAATCTGGCACATCAACAGGAGGCGCCCTATCAGTGGCAGATTGTTCTGTACCGACTTCTGCTCAGGTTTTATTTTTATCGTAGTTTAACCATCACTGGCTAACAAATGAAACCAGCTCTGACTAAACACTGTCTGCGGGGCAGCACAGTGACTCTGCGGGTCGAGATGTGGCTTCACACCTTCAGCGCTGACTCCCGCTTGCCACGCTGACTCCCGCTTGCGCTCTGTGTGTTTGGATTCTTCGCCCTTCTCCCTGGGTTTCCTGCGGGTTCTCCGGTGCTGTTCGGCTGATTGGCGCCTCTGAAATGCCCACAGTGCCTGTGTAGATGTGATGGATTAGCTCTCCATCCAGAGTAGTTAGATGATGGGTAGTTGGAATGAACTATGCATTAATATTGATTATGCTTTGATTGTAGTGTTTGCTTTGTAGTCTTAAAATTATTTATAGGAATGCCATTTGTGGAACTGTCAGCCTGAAAGGAGTCTGAAGATCCTGGCTGATAAAAAGGCACCGGAGTTGCTCTGCAGGTTAAGTCAATTAGATTGACCAATATGAACAGTGATGGGTGGATTTAACATAGATATTGGGAAATTTGGCGCCGTCACGCCAATTCAGCATTAACACTAAGGTTTTACTTTCAGTATTCTATGGACTTTAGCTTCCAGGGATAATCCAAGACCCTTCTTAGAGTCGTACACTTCCAGTCAAGGGTTTTTCAACACTTCAAGTTTCTTATGTTTTATTATATAAACGTTGTATTAAATGATCAGTGTTACATGCAAAATAAAAAGTACAAAATGGTAATTAATTAAGGAAGAATATTAAATGACAAACACCAGCTGTATCATAGAAATAAGCTAAATCTCAGAGTCATCAAAATAGCCACATTTTACAGTGAGTATAGTTGAAGTCTTGGAACTATATTAATAAAAAATTGAAGGGGTAGTTTTAAAAAATCACTCCTAGCACTGATGGAGAAATGGCCACGAATGATCTGCACTGGCTGGACCCCTAGCTTTAACCTTTATATCCAATTTATCCCAAATCACTTTGACGGGGTTAAGGTCAGGTGATTACTCAGGCCAAGTCATCGCTCTCAATTTTTCTTCATTGTGCCAAACATTCTCTAATAAGGAGTGTTCAACATTTATATGATAGTAGAGGCGTAGATAGAAATTCTGCGCCCCCTGACAAAATAACCTTGGGTCCCCTACTTGCGCCCTTGGATGAATAAACTGGTAGTGGATTGGCATTTTAGTCCCGCCCCCTACTAGCTTCCCACCAATGGCTCTTCACTCTCCCGCCGAATCCTTGGATTACAGCACACATTTTAGTCCCGCCCCCTGCCAACTTCCCACCAATGGCTCTTCACTCTCCCACTGAATCCTTGGATTACAGCACACATTTTAGTCCCGCCCCCTACCAGCTTCCCACCAATGGCTCTTCACTCTCCCACTAAATCCTTGGATGACAGCACACATTTTGTCGCTTGGTCACTGGACTCACATCATGTGTGTGGTTTCATTACTGAGAAGATTTAATACATACGATCCTACTTTAATCAGATTAGACGAATGGCGACATGGAATAGGAAAATCTCAGTTTTGTATATCTATTTTTTTTTGTTCCCCATATATTATCCATTTCCATGGTGAAGAAGCCTTTGGAATCTACCTCAGCTCAGCCATGTGTACGAAACAATCTTTACCGATGTAAAAGTCATTAATAACACTGACAAAATGTCACCATGCTGGAGCCGGCAGGTAATGCGATCAGTCAGTGACCATTGCCACACTGCCCACAGTCCACAGAGAAACACGAGTCATCTCTGAGCAACAGCAGCTAGTGAGACGTCTCTGGCTGGGGCACATTTCACATGAAGCCGAGAGATGAATCGTGATCTTTGAAACACTCACCTCTGTTCAGATTCACTCGTCGGCAGGGCTTGGGTGGAACACACATGCCACAAGAAACATCTGTAATACCGGCCTTAGGTATTTTTGGGCAAATGGCAGCGTCAAAGGCTGAAAAATGCTGTTCTTGTCCTTCTGTTGTTTATTTACAGAGCTACGGAAAAAGTACTGTTTTAAAAAAAAAAGAAAAAGAAAAGAAAACTATTGCTACAATTAAATTGGCTCATTTAAGATTCTGTTGCTGCTCATTCTCCCTCTGATTTCTAACGAGAAGAATTACCAGCAGTCGTTCTGATCCATCATCCCCAAACTAGGATAATTGTTTCTTTGAAGCGCTTGCTTGGCTCGTTAGGGGAAAAAAAATGGACCTAGTGACATAATCCATACTAAATATGAACTAGTCAGCATCTTGGAAAATGACTTAAATAGTCTTTAATGAATATTTTAGATACCCAAAAGGCTTTTTAAAAATTATATGGTTAACTTTATTTCCTATTGAGTATCAATAAAGCAAAATTTAATATCTGGCTTGTCTTGACTTATGAAACTTGCTGGTTTCCTGCTGCTCCTAATATTCAAAATATCAGCTCTGTTGTCTGTTTCAAGCTCCTTTGCTTTTATTACGTCCATATCTTCCCTCTGGGGTAATTATCGCCGAGTCCAGGGGCTCTTCTCTCCCGTGCATTGTGCACTTACAGGCTTGATGGTAGATATTTCGGAGGAGCTTGCATTGTTTGAGGAAAAATGTCTGCCGAAAAGCATCATGGGATATCAGGACTGTTATGCATAATTTATATGTTTTGAAAAATAGAGGTGGCCCGGTCGTTTCCGATGCTATCGCATGAGCGGGCTCCGCAGCTGAGCACCGCGAGCTGGGGACATCCGCCGGGTCCCTGTCCTTATTGCTTCTTTGCTCCCTCATTCCTCCGCTGTGCTTCGTTTGCGAAACAGAAGCAGAGCCTTTGGGGCAGGACAAGGCCAAGCTTGAACCCGGTAAGTGTGAACGAGCGCGCTCAGCCAGCTCTTTCTGGAGAGGTTGAAGTTGTATTTCTAAGGATGCACAGTTGTTTGGAGATTTTCCGGGGGGGGGTCTGATGTCTGCACTGGGGCGTGCCACCCAGATCACCATGACAGCAATTTGCTAAGTGAGTTTTGGAAATGAATGGATTAACGAATCAATAAATCTGCAGCACTCCGGGGCCTCTCTGCCTTATGTTGCGTGGACACTGTTGTTTGTGAAACAAAACCCATGTTTGACGTCCATTTATCTCTCGCTAATTCAGGCAAGATGCCCTACTTCCAGTGCGTGCTCCTGAGCTCCCAAAGTTCTGCGTACCCCTTGCGGCCTCAGAGCCCAGCCCAGAACCCAAGAGCCAAACCCATGAGGGCCAGAGCGGCAGGTGTCTAGGACAGCGCCACCTACATGCCGGGTTTGTATTTGGCAGCCTGTGTCTCGCTGTGATGGCTGGGGTCTCTCTTTGAATCCATCGCCATAATCCAGCTGGGACACCGGCGTTTTGCAGGATGTTGACCAATAACAGAGGACGACCAGGGGGGGCGGGGCTAAATGGCTCAGGCTTTTCCTTTGTGTGTTTTTTCATTTTCTTGACCAGCCGAATGTCTGTGGCTGACAGGCCGCAGGGATGAGCAGGCTTTCTCTACAGTGCTGTTTGGGTGTCCACCCCCCCGTTTCGGTGGTTTTTAAAATGTCGCAAAAACACCGCGATACGTCATATTCAGAGACACCTCAGGTGACATCACTCAGACATGATCTTACATGGTTCAATCTTAAGGTTTAATGGAAAAAAAGAATATAGAATATAGAAAACAGTCCTAAATATATATATATATATACGATACATAAAATGTTATATATTGTCCACCTTTACATGTATATAACACATATTGTATATAAGATTTAGTGATTATAATACGTAGGGCATTGACTATTCTAAGACAGTTCATCCAAATATGCCTCAAAATGAACATTATCTATTATGGCACATTGATTTCCTTGCTAATTCAGGGCTGTTCTGCACGGTGCATTTACTGACAAGCAGGCATGGCAGTACCAGTATATCAAGGGTGTAGATTTGGGTATGGATGGTAGAGACGCATCCCTCGCCGATAATGTGGGAGGACTGTGTGTGTTTAGGGGGGTGGGGGTGGGGGGTCGGGACTGATTTGGACCCCATCTGTGTTGAATCCAAATCTACACCCTTGTATAGTCGCAAGTTTTATTTATTGTTTTGTAAATGTAAATATAAAAATTGCCACTTGAAGTATGGCCCAGCCTTGTCACGCTTGCGCCGAAAAGACCTTGTCCATCTTTTCTCGTTTACTGCCTCCGTTGATGTATCCCTGAGCTATGCATCTGTTATTTTGTGCCATGGGTAATTCCCAAAATTCTGATTCATGGTCTTTCATACGCTAAATGCTTTAAAGGAAAAAAAAAAACACTTAAAATTCATGATTTGCACATCTTTGCACCATGGAAAATAAAGGCATTTTTGTGAAGGCTTTTTTGTTTTGTTTGATATGGAGTTCAGTGTGCTGTCAGTGATTATTGAGAAGCAATGAGGAACGGTTTGCTGTTGCGCTCATGCTTCATGATTAACTTGAAGAGTCTTTAGGCGACAGACGGAAGCGTTTGCCGTTGACCGCATGTTATCCGTGGCATGGCAGTATTTTAATTTCCCGTTGCTAAACGCCTGGACTACTTGACAGGTGGCCGCAGGCTGCAGAAAGAAGCATTTCTTTTCCCTCACTTTTAAAATAATAATAATAAGATGTCATAATCAAACAAGGAATGCAGCTCAAAGTGCTTCACATATGAGATTTAGATTAAACCAAAAACATAGAAGCAATTAACATATAGGACAATGAAATTATATGAATAAATCAAAGTAAAATGAATAAGCGAGAGTAAATGAAAAATGAAATAAACAAACAAATAAAATACAATAAAATTTAAAGGCATGAAAAGGATAACGTTATAAAAGTATAAGCTACTAAATTAAATAATATTGTATTTTATGAATATAGCAACAAAACGGTGCTATAGAAAGAAATAACAGGTAAAAAAGATCGACAATCTTGTAAGCGGGAAAACTGCCAGATTCAAGTTCAACAAATTCAGACCTGCCTTTGGCTTGAAGCCTGTAGTGAGAGCTCCCCACCAGATGTGGCGCTGTTTGCGTGCAACTCCACCTTGAGTCACAACTGATGCCGTTTGATGTCTCCGTGAGGAACAGTGGGGAGAGAAAGACGCTGTGACAGGCCGACCGAGCCGCTGCTCCTGGGCATCGTGTACGTCTGCGCTGTCGGCTCTAGCTAGCAGCTAGATGGCCGGCACCCTCTGTTTTTACATGTGATAAATGTGTAATGAATAATGAATGAATATGCGAATAAAGGGTGCTGTCAATTAATATTTCCACGATGCTCTTTTTTATAAGTGGAAAATAATTTTTACAGAGACTACACATGCTTAACTGCATGGTGGTATGAGTTACTGTCATGGGAAGCAAAAAGAAAAACAGATATTTTTTAACTGCCTTGTACAGTAAAAAAAGAAAAACAAAAAAAAAACTCAGAGACATTAAAACTGAAGGACCTTTAAAGTATATTTAAAATCTACTGACGGTGGATTGTTCAGGTCTAGAAAGTAAAAATCCAGACCACGATTTTGTTTCAACCAACCAGCAGAGTATAGAGAGTCACAGTCACAGAGTACTCAACTGGTTGGTTGAAACAAAATCATGGTCTGGATTTTTTCTTTCTGGACTTGACCTGTCCACTTCTGAAATCTACTGTTTAAATCCCAGCGCTAGTCCAACTGCGATGGAGTTCCTGGGTGTAATTACTCCTTTCATTGTTTTATTATTACTTGATGCTTCGTAGATGAAGGGGGCTGCTGGCGAGCCGTGAACCACAGACAGTTCTCCTCCGGCCTTCTCCTTGCAGGAGAGCCTGTAAAGCAGTAGACATCTTTCTTTTTAATGGAGAAGAATATGAAGGACTTCCTCATTCGATGCGGTGATGGCGATGATGATGCACCGATAATGTGTCCTTTTCAGCGTGGTGTCAGCTTTGTATGAATAATGACACACATGCCTTTCAGCCTTCGCTCCGAGAGCAGTCGCCGGGGATGGCAGATAGGGACTGACTGGTGAGCTGGATCAGCAGGACGCGACGTCAGTGTTCGCTCTAGTCTCTGTCTATTCAAACAACAGAAGTAGCTTAAAATCAAGTCCCCAAAAGGTGCAACAAACACCCGGTGCAATACACATCGATACCCGAAAAGTGATCTCATGCTGTTTTTAACCATCTCATCCTTACCTCAATCGAAGTACAATAGGATGCCATTACTTCTTTTCTGGTTCTATTAATTGATTTAAACAGCTTCTGTATTTTATGCATGACAAAATTTGAAGAGGCATGTTCTTCCAAGCTTCCTGGGTTTGCCAAAGAACTTGATATTTGTTGTCTTATAAAGAATTTCCATCCAGTATATTACTGATGATATTACGGTATTACTAATGGAAATGATGGTGCAGCAGGGGCGTAGGATATATAATTTGGCTTCATTCCCCCCCTTCCCCAATAAACAGATGTTTTTTATTTAAATCATTATGTTTGTCCCCCAATATCAAACTCTCCTGCCATTGTGTGCCAGATTTCTCGATTACTTAATACTTGCAAGTGTTTACATACTTTATAAATCTGTGTCCTTTTTTCGCTCGTAATACTTGGCGATATATGTAATATATACGCCAGTCGCGCTGTTGTGACCTGGGTCTCTTTTAATATGGCAGCTGAATGCTGCTTTTTATTTCTCTACTCTGGCTGCTCAGACTCGTAATTGACCATTTCTCTTTCTCTGAGGGGGAGTACGAGGTCAGTGCTGTCAAAATACATCCAGCTCCTTTATTCCCTTAACCACTGATTGTCCTCCCTGATTTCTAATCATAACCGCAATCATTTAAAGCTGCGAGCTGATCCGGGGGGGGGGACATTATGTGTCATGAACCGCCTACTGCACCAAGGGCTTCAAAAAGACCTACTGTTTTTAACGATTTTCCAGTTCATCTGCGCCGGCAGTGCTATTGGCTGCTTCATTGCATGATTTGTGTGCTCAACTTCTAATCTTGTATGTATTTATAGTTCAGCAATTGAATGTAAACACACACACACACACACACATAGATAATGTATCTATCTCGTTGTGGGTACTCTCTATTAATTTCTATGGGCCTAATCCCAATTATGACAACCTTAACCCCTACCCAGACCTAACCTTCACCATAAGTAACCAAACAAAATACAAGACTTTTGACTTTTGAATGCATTCACAGATTTTAATATTTTTATAAAACTTAGTGTCCTCTTGTGGGGACAGAAAAAATGTCCCCACAATGTCAAAATAATAGGTTTTTGTCCCCACAATGTGGTAAATACAAATCCACACGCACAAATGCACACAAACAAATATGAGTATTAGAATTATTGATGTGTCATTTGGTTTCAGTCAGCGTTTTGTGCTTTAATTACAAAGATTTTTTCGGCAGATTAACCAAAGAAATGTTTTGTCCCTGGTGAGCTTTAATGCTTTGGCTTTAATTAAACATAATTAAACATATCAGGTGTTCTTTCTGTCTCAGTGTGATATAAAAAATGTTTTTTATTGGTTTCAGTACAAAGTTCTGTGCTTTCAAACACACAGCCCTTTGGTAATGCTCTGATAACGAGTGTTAATCTCTAAAAAAAGTCTTTCAGATTTATGTATTTCCTTTGGGCATCATTTTAAAAAAGGATCTGCTATGTAATGAAATGTTGACATCGTTAAAAGGTTATGGATATTGATGGATGTATAAATTGATTGGTTGAAGTTCCCACTGAGATGTTATAAGAACATTTTTTCCCCTTTAAAAACATGCAGTCGATTTATTGTTTAATATCTGAATATATGTTTAGCATGATAGTTGTTAGCTGCCAAAATATTTCGGTCTGTGATTTATATGCATTAATAAATGTAAAGATCTGGGTGTTGAAGTGTATACAGTCCGTGATTAAAGCTTTCTGAAATAAAAAACGCAGATGTTTGTCTAAATATTATTACTTTTTATGGTTTATAAACATTTTTCTAGATTTGGTTGTACACCACATTTATCATGAACCACTATTCTGCTTACTGATCCTTCCATATTCTATATTTATATTAAATATTAAATATGAAAATTATTGCTGCTGTTGCTCAAACAATGCTGTAGGGGTTGAAAATGCATTTCTACTTTTTTAACACAAACTTTGGCAGCATGTTTCTCATTCCGGCTCTCAGCGCTGCATAACCATCCAGTGACATTTCCCCAAGTTGCACCCATATAGTTAGTATATTTATTTTTATTTTTTTATTAATTCCATAAGACTTGGAAGTGCCTTTCATGCCCGTATTTTTGTGCTCTATTTTGCATTTATATTAAGCACCATTTTCTCTCCTCTGCAGTGCCCACATATATATATAGCATGACTGGCAGAATTTCATCTTGCCGATACCATCAGTAGTTTTAATTGAATCAGACCCATTAAGCTCCGGGAAGGGGGAGGGGCTTGCTTTGTGTCCAGTCTATTTCTTCTCTCCATCCATTTAATTCCTTGTAGCACTTGAGTCCCCAGACCGTGTTTATGATGTTCAGTAAGAGAGCCCCGGAATAATTTAACCTGAAATCCCAATGGATCTCTGGAGATAAATAACAATAATCTGAGCGGGGCTTGCAGTGCCTGGTTTCAGCCAGCGGTGGCGCTGCAGCACAGCCCAGGAGGCTCGTGTCAGCTCGCAGCAGGGCCACCTAAACTGGGTCAGCCATCGCAGTGGCGGCGCAGTGTGCTCAATGTCACAGCTGATGTGGCGGTGGCCGATTAGCGGCGGCTAAGTGGCTGCAGGTGCAGGCTGCCTCTGGGGGGCCCAGTGACGTGGTCCTGGGGGAGCCGCCCGGCCCGGCCGAGCCGCCCGAGGTCCTCCCGCAGGTTCACGCTTGGAAGTCACGCTGAAACCGGCGCTTCCTCTAGGCTGTTAACTGAACTGTTTTCCCCGGCGAGGGATCGCCCCCGTGCTTCTGTGAATGCCGCTTTTATTACGTCGCGAACATTCAGATCTATCAGGTGTTCGGAATCAACAGTGTAGGAGAGAGTTTCATGTTGGGTGGGTGGGGATGCAGTTTTAAAATTTAATTCTCAAGGTCTAATTATTGGGGGGATGAATTAAGCCAAATTAGATATTTTGGAGAGGGGGCGACGTGTCCTTACAGTTTTTACCCCCCTGTCCTTTGTGGTGGTTTGTAACAATGTCAGAACATTGTGCACTTCCCTGTTGTGTCCTTGTGGGGCGCTGTGATTCACCAGCATTCCATATACCATGGGAGGGGAATGATGTCCTGGCAACAGCAAGTAAAACAGCAACGGCTCCGGTGGGGGGGGGGTGTTAATAGCTTTCAAAACTGCCATACAGCATGGAGGCCGCTGCTCTGAATGTGGAGGGTGCTGATTATTTGCCAGGGGCTCTGACACCTCACAGGGCGAGGAACGCGCACCTACAGGCGGGGTACGATGGCGGTCATGCCCCAGCTGGGCCACAAGGGGCATCCACGTGCTCGCTCCAGCAGCCAGCTATTTCACAGGAATCCAGGACAGAAGAGGGTAATGGCTGAGGCTCCAGTTGTGTCTCATCGAAAAACAGCAGCGTGCCTCAGAAGATGCTGTCCCTGCCTCACGCCCCCAGGTCAGCTGCTGGCATCTCCACATCTGCAGAGCTTGTGTGTATGTGACCGACTCGGGGGCACCTTGTGAATGTCCTCAGTCACTCAGTGTGTGAGTGGTTTTCTTTCCCATCCGGAACGTAACCTTGCCGTGTGCCCTGACTTTCCCGAGACACCAACAGCTTTAATAAATAAGCTGATATGGGAAAACTGAGCTAACAGCCCATAAGCTCGTGTGTTACGGGGGACGTTCATGCAGGATCACAAAGTGATTCAGGTCAGTCTCCTCCTGGGACCATAACCATAACAATACAGTATCTATACAGTTACAGGACTGTTATTTAAGGAGACCTGATGAAAAATGGCCACTATCAGATGAAAATCATATACGACCTCATTGGGTAATAAAATCACAGCTTTTCCTTTATGCTCGTGGGAATTTTACTTACACAAAAATGTTCTGGGGGCAGAAAGAAAAATTATTGCTTCAGAGAGATAACCAATCAGGAGGTGAGTCCAAACGATTAGGTGGGACTAAGATATCTGATTGGTTGGTGCTACCTGTTTAACTTGATTGGACCCACCTCCTCTAGAGTCTGATTGGTTATCTCTCTGATCGGTTATCTCTCTGATCTAATGAATTTTCTTTCTTCCCTCAGCACATTTTTTGCATAAGTAAAACTCCCAAGAGTTTCATTTACCCAATAAGTAAAGGTAAGGAGTATAACTTACTTGCTTGAGAGATTTGAACCCACAACCAGCACATCACAAGCAGAACGCTGGACTTGTTGAGCTGCTGGAGCACCAGGGTCATACAAAGAGGCTTAGGTTTAATAAGGTCACAGCAGGCGGGTGGGAATGGCGAAGACGGCTGTGACCCCCCCAGGATAAATCTGCTGTGATTTTCCTGCGTTTTCCCTCCCCAGCACCAGTTGGTCCACAGGTCTCCCAGGTCCTGCTTTCCCTGGAAACCTGTGCCGTGGATATTCATGGGTCGTGTTCCAGACAATAAGTTATAAAACCCGGTAGCAGAGGGACGTTACTAAAGCACAGATGTGCCAACATTGGCATCTGTCTCCATCCTCTTTCATAACCGACTTTCCCTCTTTTTTTGTTCTCCTTTGCCGCTGAATCGTACGTTTAGAAAGTGCTCTATTCAATTTACTAAGTGCTCCAGGGTAGTTTTAGCGTCCATTCAGTGCCGTTTCAAAGGCCGGCCAGCTGTCTGCGACGGAGCTTAGCGCTTCGCTGCAGGGATCCTGAGCGGCACATGCACCTCGAACCCTGGTGACGGGGTTTATCGTCATTTACTGGGGCGGTGCTGCAATAAGCAGTGAGCAAAAGAAGGGCAATGAGGGAACATAACAGCAGGCTTCCCACTGGATTTGGGCCCAAACAGGAGAACAACAGAGGAGTTGAAGTGAAAATTTGATGGGTGATGTTTCCACAAAGGGGAAAGTGTGAGATCAAGTCCAAACAGGAAAAAAACTTATATCAAAACAACTCTGTTTCCCAGTGATTTCAATATTTATTTGACATTTTCGTCATTTGCGCATTTAAATTACATCACATATGTCTGAAAGTCATCTTCGCTGACCTTTAAACATCACCCCATACTTCAGTTCACGACTGCAGCTCCAAAATCTCCCACACATCAGTTAGACCCTTTGCCCGTTTGCTAGATAAGACACAAGGCGACAGACGCCGGAGAATCAAAACGCCTAACTACAACCAAGGTATGCATAAATGTTCAAACGAAAGGCAAACAAAAGCAAAATGTTGTTTAGGAGGAAATGCAATGTAATAGAATAATCTATAACATTTTTTTGGGGGGGGGAGGGGGCTGCTTTACTTAACACGGATACTTTTGTTTTCAAGCATTAAGCACTCTGATTAAATGAGAATAATCTATAGGCATTAATCGAATGTTTACGTGTAGATAGCTATAAAGAACGAAGAAAATAGTACAGGACAGAGAGAGAGATCATCGATGAGGAGAGGGGCGATACAGCGTGATTTACTGATAACAAAATAATCATCTCTGTCGTGGAGAGATGACCCAAAAACATGGGTGAGTATAACAGGAACTCATTAAAAATACTTTCAAACCAGGCCAAGATCTTCTGAAAGACACATCTCATCCCTGAAGAAAATCTGCCTTTAAAACACTCACTTAATTCATAGTTATTCATAGCATCTAAGTTTCATCCACATTTTTATAGGTCACAACTCTACCTTTATTAATATGGTCCGAATGTCTAACACTGATAATATAGATTAGCACCCTTTCAGGCCAGAGCAATAGAAAAATGTCCTTGGAAATTAAGCGCGACTGCCCCGTTGTCCAGTGAGAATCCTAGTGGATCCTGCCAGATTCTTACCATTAAAAAAGTCCTCACCAGCTTCGACTGCGGCAGTCACCATGGTTCTGGTGCCTTTTGAGTCCACCGCGGTGCCGCGTCAGCACAGGGAGGTCTACACCTGCGACAGCAGACGTAAAGCGAGAGCGCCACATCGAAATCTAATACCCAGAATGCAGAGCGGTTGCCCAGATCTAGGAATGAACAGGAAGTGTGTTCCACAAAAGCCCAAGCATCAACCCTAGATCATATGCGTCCTGATGGTATTATACATTATTTTACATAGTTCAACGACACAAAGTGTGAGAAAAATAATATTTATATCTTTATATATTCGAATCGATATTCAAGTAACATTCCACGCACTCTTCCGTGCATTCCCACGTGGCTGGTCTCCCCCTCCAAACAACGCAATCATCAGCATCTATAGACTAGCTACTACTCTGTAGGAGCAGATGTGTCCAATACCAGCATTAGCTACACGGCTAAGTAGGTACAGTGTCCACCGTCCGTCATTCGAATGCCAGATTCTGCCGCTGAAAACGCCTCCCAGATCCATTGGGCTGGATCGGTAACATGTAAGTGTAAGGCCTGCTACCCTAACATAGAGAACGGTGTTGCCCTTTAATTCTTTATTAAAAATAAAAGCCTGCACAATTTTGCTATGGATCCAGACATGACTAATTGCACAATTTGAGCTGAAAAAAAATGAATATGCACATATCCATGTTTCTCAATGAAAACAATCTGAAATAAAAAAAAAGGTAAATATGTTCTATATTGATTTCGTGCTTTGAGAGATACACCAGACACAAGGAGACACTGATACTGTGGACAAGCAGAAAAATGTGGTTTTGCTTTCTGTGTTGGGAACGATAGTAAAATATAATTTCGGTATCTGTGAACTGAGGATGGTACTCGCTCTCTTGCTCTAACTAATTGCTGCATCCTCAGTGTCCCTTCGCTATAAAGGGAGAGATGCTCTGTGACACAAAAACCTGAATTACTCTTTCATGTGCCCCGAATGGACAGGGATAAACCGGGTTTTGCTCATCTCCAAACCATCTCCAGAACATCGACACCCCTCACCGTTTCACCTCTCCATCTCATAACATTGATACTGCTTTACTGCTTTATATTCGATGTCTGCATTATTTCAGCTCAGCCTGCTTGTACCTCACAATGGCCCACCACGCACTTTTATTACAATAATATTAATTATTATCGTTGTTGTTATGCTAATCCTGAGCTGAACCTCTTCATTGTTTTATGCTACACCCCTCACCTTGCTATCTCTCGGCCCACTAAATATTTCACGACACACAGATTATTCACATCAGTCTACCCAAGTATCTCGTTCACAATAACGTCCAAATCCCACGTCGAGATCGTATTTACATCCCAAAATTGGCACTTGACAATGAGTTACTGACTGCACCTCTTCCGCTCGGTCCATACCCAGAAAGCCTATCGCATTAGGCCCAAGAGCTACTCTCCCATTCTTAGGATTTCTGTTTGTTTGTCCGGGAACGCGGGACGTCGTGTCCCCGGTGGTGGACGGCCGGCGGCTGATTAGTCCAGCGAGAGCAGGGGCTGGATGTTGTCCTCCTCGCCGGTCCCCTTCGCAGGCCTCTTCAGCACACCCGGCTCCACCACCGACTGCGACCTGCAGGGGGCAGCAACGTATGAGGCACGTCAGGCAGGGCCACGCTTATCGGGGATGCACTAGCGTGGGGGGGTGCATCAAAGCCAGAAAATGCCGGCATGGGGGGCTTACTTCTCCAAGGTGGTGGGAGTGGAGTGTGTGTGTGTGTGTGTGTGTGTGTGTGTGTGTGTGTGTGTGT